GAGTGTAACGGGGAAAACAACTAAATACATACACAGTTAATGTGATATACAATGCAGTCACGAACAAATACTTGACGATGCTTTGTCAATAAACTGTTGGACGTTAATAGTCCTTCCTTCCCACACCGTGTCGGTGATTGCAGTTCTTTGGCCAGACATTAACCGCTGATGGTGAGTGCGAGTTGGGTGAAGGCAGTGGGGGATTGGAATAAATAGTTCAGATATCACTGGCCACTGATGTTAGCCGTGGGTGCGAATCGAACTCAGGTTTACCTGCCTTCTTTGCACAATGCGTTCAGCACTTCCAAAACACAGCAATGCAGTAATGGCATTTATATCAAACTCTTTAAAATGTAAAAAGAAATTGTGTAACGAAAGCATATGCCACTTAAATTTCGATTTAAAGCTTTCGTGACTGCAGGGATTCATATTCTTGGTTCTTTCGGTAAAGTCACGTAGAAGGGAAAGAAAAGAATAAAAATTAAACAATAAAATAAAATTATCACGTGAGAATTTTATTTTATTCATTTTATTTTGTTAAAATAAAATTCTCACGTGCTAATTTTATTGCTTTATTTTATTATTTCCCTTCTACGTGACTTTACCGAAAGAACCAAGAAGACATATACCACTTGTTCTATCTTTTAAATATAGTCCTATGGAAAATAAATAATAGCATTAAACATCGTCTGTTTTATTTTTTGTGCAGATTTTCCGTCTTACGAAGTGATGTAATGTTTCTGTTGGCATTGTGGGCACACCATACTTGGCATTCTAAGTGCAACTTCGGTTATCTGATGAGTCCTGTGGTGGAATGCGCCGTTACACACACGGCTGATGGGTGGCCTGCTTTCTATCTAAATTCCACGTGAATCAAACGTGTCAAGATAACACTTTCAAGGACACGCTCCAACCCATCACTTCGTGTACAGATATTCCAACATTCTTGTAACGTTTAGCAAACCCCCCCTCCCCTACTAATAGACATAAATTAAAACGCATTGGCAATATTTTTTTAGGTGCGGGAATGCTCGTACAAATGTCAGCATTTGTAGGCATACATTACCATAGGCTGTTGATGCTCTCAACATTTGGAAATGCGTCATATATTCGCCACATTATTCCTCTGCACATATACATCTTGCGCATACAACTGGGTTTAATGTGAAATCCAGTAAGACCGCTCTATATAGTCTTGCCTGCTTGAACCTATTCACAATTTCACAACCGCAAACTCGCTCCCCCTTAAGTGGGAAAGACTGGCCCGGGTGCCCCCACGTTCACTACGCCCATGCATTAAACAGGGCGCCAACACAATTGAAGTCACAGAGTGAGTAAATGCGACAAAACAAAAACAACCACTGCTTCCCCCCTCTCCTACCCCCCCCCCCCCCCAGTTCTAGGTGCCGACAGAGACTGACCACCACTCCTTTTGCAAGAGTAAAAGGATTTGCCGCTTGTGTGGGAGAGCACGTGTCCATTGTGTATGTGTTCACAAGCTGCAGAGCTCCATTTATTTAATGCGACTTAAAAACCATTGGATAATCCAACCGGATAATCTACAAGGTAATCCACAAGATAATGGATTTTTCTTAACATACTAATTTATGTCATGTTTCTTAAAGAATATTGTAAAGCGTAACACCTGTATCGTGCTACAAAAGTATATAAACTGTGCCACCAAATAGGACCACAATGTAAACACATCTCAGCTGGCCGTTCCTATTGAATGTTTTTAAATAACAAGGATTTGTTCATCCTTGTGTAACCCAGCTTAGGGGTTTTTCTCGAGTCAGCAAAAAAACTCTCTTTTGAAAACGAGGAGGGCAAACAATGGGCCAATATCAGACGTGTTTATTGCAGACACTAATCCGGCCACAAATACCACATTGATATCTTTCCACCATGTGACCTTGCTGACTCATAAAAGGTCAAGTATTTATATCTTCCCAATAGCAGCAACTTTGTTGTGGTCATCATTATTTTGAGAAAACTATTACGAATAACGCATTAAATGTCTTCATTTGGAAAACAGTTTTGTGTATGCAGGTGAATAATTTCACTGACATTTTAGCAGCACTAGGTGTTCATGCAAATTAAACTCTTAACTCGCCACACTCCTTTAAAATGTACTCTTCCATTTTACTTCACCAGCAAAGTGCTTCTACAAACATTGCACCACGTTATCTTGCCATATCCACCATGCCTGCCCGCTATACAGTAGGTACACAGACTGTGCTGTCTGCTCACAAAGTGCTCATGCCTTGGGTTCTATATGTGAAGCCATTCCTTTCCTACATAACAAGTGGATCTGCCAACCGCCAGCAATACCTCTCTCTATACGGGCACAGGAGATGGGGAAAAAAGTCAGTGAAAACATAATTCCAGACTCCTGGATCTAAACCCAACACAGCTGTGTTGAAATGAGACATGTAAAAACAATTTTACATGTTCCCAAAATAACAAAGTGGAGGTAGAGAGGTGCAGTAAATCCAATATAAGCAGCACATCGAGGCGGTTATATACGGGTACAGTACGCTCAGTTCACCAAAGCACTTTTTGGCTGGCTAAGTATATTGCATTTTTAGGAAAGAATTCATCCTTAAAAGCTGCAGCCAGGGAATAACTTGACTTTGAAATATAAACCGGTTAGCTTCCATACTGTATGGAATGAGGCATTCGGTGCCCTGGCAGTCGAGGCATCTCTCACGAGCAGTCGCTGAAACGCTCACATTTACAGGCCTCGGTCTCTAAACCTCCTTGGTGTTTGCACTCTCTCTCTGTACTATTTCACAATTCATTGCAAACGTTGACTAGAGCACGGTATTTACTCCCATGGTGGTGAACTTTGCAATAACATGTTTTCATACCTTTTCTACTCACATGCCCTGGCCTAAACAAATCAGTTAAATGTGCCTTACACACGTGTAAATTATTATTTCAAACACAAATCCAAACATTTCATCAGGCACTCAAAATGGATGGCAAAGTAACGGAAGGCTTTATAACTGCAAATGGTTATTCAAGTGAAATCACAAATGTGTGATAGCATAAAATAAAACAAAGTCTGTAGATGACGGTCGAGGTACAAATACATTTTGAAAATTAAACAAGAGAAGAACCTTGCCTGGCTTTGGAATATATTCTTTGCAGCCACTAGCTCCTGTGATTGCGCTTAAAGTGAAACCTCAAGATCGGCTTCGTCATACGTTTATATAACTTTGTATGCTCATTAAATGAGCTGAAACGTTTTTTCACGTGGAAGAAAATGATAAATAATGAGTTTTGGTCATATAAATGCTGATTGAGAACGTTACGCTTTGCATGGATTTGTTTAAACTGTATTTCAACAATATGAATTTAAATGAAAGCACCGAAAAAGGACTCGGGGAAATGAAGGACAGTAAAAAAAATGTTCAGAAGAGTAAGATGAATCAGACTTTCCATTTGATGCCCTGACAAAGCAGAGCCTGACGTGCATCATTAATGTGATTAGCGAACGTTTAAATAACTGCTAAAACTAGGTTGGCAACTTTTTTTTGTTTTAAAACCTTAACGGCATCTCTTTTGCGAAGTGTGATGTGATTTAAATATGCTTAAATATTATTGGATTCAAACAAATTCCCATAGGTAGTCAAAGGAATACATGATTTACCATCGGATCCTTTGGGGGTGTCTAAACATGTTTCACTCCAAAAGATGTGCCGCTTTGTGAGAGGATGTTCTATAGGTTTTTTTTCAAAAGGGTAATTAAAGAATGTTTGAGCAGACAAAAGATAACCTTTGGGAGATGAGGGGTTAAGCTCACCGGGAATGATCCGTGAAATGCGATACGTGACCCAAACTAAAAAGTCACTTCCTCGCCCACCAGGTCCCTTGCTGGATCACATGTCCAGGAAATGCAATCAGCCCGCCCTAACGACACACACTCGCCCAAATGCAAACAAAGTTAAGGGCCCACAAAGCCACACACTTTGGCACGTAAGTTTGCCTACCACATATCTTTACATTGATGTGTGTATGCTCATAAATTTACTCTCAGGCACGGATATACTGATTTTGTACAATCTACAATGGCCTTTTGTGTGAGAACAATATCCTGTCTGACAATGAAACAAAGGCAGACTTTTCACAGACTAAGATGTCGACGTTAATGATTTTACTCCAAAGTACTTTTTTAAAACATGATTCAAAGGTTAGGTGTGTCTTTCCGCATTGCAATAATGGCACAAGTATTAAACGTGGGTGTTTGAGGTCATCTTGGCCAAATACTCCCAACTATGTCATACCCCACCCTTGAGGTACACTGCAAGGTCCAGAGACAATGTCTCATATCCTGTGTTAAAACCTTAAGGCAGACAACTGTACAGTTTGTCTTTATGTCCTAACCAAATTATTTTATGAACGTAATGCAAGGGCAGCAACAACACATCTAAAAACTGCTGTTTGGATTTCCTTGACTTAAATACAACTCTCCAACGATGTAAATGGCCATGAGCAGTTAGGAGAGGTTCTTTACCAATGCTGTTTATTGAATGAGTGTTGCAGTAAATCATCTAGTACTTTGTTGCAGTGCCACACCTGGTTCAGAGTTGCACCTGCCACTGTGACTTTGAAGTTCACGTATGAGTACCATTATGCACCTGTGTCTGATTAGTTTACATTTATATTGGCACCGAAGCAAAAACTGATGACAAGGGAATTCTAAAATTTATATTCATTGATGGATTTACCACCAAATAACACTTCATGTCGTACTGTAATTTAATTACCCACCTTTTTAATCTGCTTCCTGAAAAAAGCTAGCGTTTTAGAATATCTTACATTTGTGCATAAAATACGAATAGCTTTTAGAGGACTTTTTGTACATTTTCCACCATGCACATGAAAACCAGATGATTGGCCTTGCTTCTAATTCCTTCTACGGGAATGCTTTCAAATTGCATCATGGGTGTAGTAATGACTAAACCATACCAACCTCCATCTTTCCCCAATCTCCAGATGTATCAAATTCTCAGCATAGCAGGTCACGGCTCTCGGGTGAAAGCAGTTCCCCGAGTTGGTACAGGTGCAGCCTGAGGAAGGCTGCTGGCAATTGAACACAGTACTTTTTGTTGTACACATTCACACACTGGGTCTGAAGAAATTAATGGCACGAGTAGTGGGATTTAAGCCATGGCTGCATTCTCGGCACATACCGTAATTAAAATGTTTGCCCATATTTACAGACTTGTGTTGGTGAAAAAACCCCAGCAATCTTGGGCCAGATTGCTCTTTAAATCTGGGTCTGCAGCGTGGGACGGCACCACTTTAAGTGTTTTTCAAACGAAAAAAAATCGGCAGTGTGGAATGTCCATGTGTTTGCACAATGGGAACGCTTGCCAGAGTGAACCTTTCTCCAGATGAACCTTTCATTTAAATTCACATTGAATGCTGTCACAAAGTATTTACAGAGAAATGTGCACCATGAAGTGCACGTAGAGCTAAGCTAATGGCAAAGGAGGAGTTAAGTTTGATAAAAACAAGAGTTTTAAAATATATTTGAATACAATGTTTCTTTAACTCTTGAAAAATATATACTTTTAAGCGGTACGAGATGGCACAGATAAGAGTGGGGATAAAAAAAGGCACGTGTCTTTGTCATCCATTTCCATTACATTAATTTCCATACTTGTTTCACTTAGAGGGCATTTAGACAATGTAGAGATGATCCCGATTCATGTAATTGCTTAGCTTGCTGGTATTATGCCACCTGTTTAAATTACTTTGTATTTAGACTATGAAATATATCTTCAACTCCATTTCTTGTTGTGGTACATTTATTCTCGTGAAGTACTTTATTCCGAAAACAATTACAAGAATAATTAAATATTTGTTGTTGTTGTCGCAAATCAGGCACTCTCATCCTGAATAATCGTTCGGCAGGAAGCGGAGAGTGGGAGTGTGCGCGCAGTGAAGGACAGTGGCCTTGAACAAAACCGCCGGCTACTGAAGAATATGTACAGCGTTGCCGACCTGCTGGCTTCCCATGGCTTCAGGTCGGGCAGGAGGCCGACATCCGGCAGCAGCAGCAGCACACAGCCTCCACTCCGGATGGAGCCGCCCCGGTCAGGGCTGGAGCAGGGGTTTCCTGGCCAGGATGTGTGGCACGACGCACCGCCCGCTCCCCGCGCCACACGTCACTCCAGCCTGCCACTACAAGAGCACCCCGCAAGGGCCGAGCCCTCCAGGGAAAGAGCAGAGCTCGTAAGTGAAAAGGCGAACTATGAAGAGGGGCAAATGCAGCACCAAAGCCCCCCTGTGACCATAAGGTGAGGAGCTCGCTGGAGAAAAACGCACCGTCAAAAAAGTTCAGCATTTTTAGACATCATTTCCTTTCTTTGACTGCTGTGTCATTTGCCTGAAATGAAATGTGCTTGTACTTTGTTTGAACAGCTGTAACATAATTTCCTTTGAGAAACGAACAGATTACACAAATGTATATGCATATTTGCTGCTTATACAGTACTTACTGTATGCCTATAAAAAACACTGGCATATGCATAGAATGTGACAACAGTGCATTACGTCGACTATTAATACTTAAATAGAATAGGTTTCACCCTTTCTGGCAATAAACCAGGAGTTAAGATTTCCAAACACCACATAGATACCTTTACGTGACGCTTGAACACACCTATCTAACACATCAATAGGCTGCAGGATTTATGCTGACCAGTCAAACAATATACACACATTTTAAACTATTAATTCTTACGTGCACAATTCTCTGCAAGTACTCTGATCACAACAATCAATTTCAAATGTTAATCGATGCAGTTACATGCCTAGATATACACCTGTGGGCAGGTTATATGAATGCCCACTGTTGGTGCAATTAAAATACAATATAATTGACCGAAATGAGAATCCCTGGTAAGCTTGATGTGGTTGCATCCTGGCAGCCATACCAGGTACATTATTTTATTTTTGTCTAGTTTTAAAGTGCTGCATGCATCATTTATGCCATGGATAGTTACTCAGTGGAACAATTGCAGTTCCCAGTTTTATTTGTTTGTTTGTTTTCCACTGCTGTGCTAACTTTACGCCATAACTCATTCGGCCACGGTTTGGTTTTACACTCTCGTAATTTGTATGGGTGACTAGAAAGTAATCACAATCAACTGGCAACAGGGTACACCTGCTATGTGAAAGATGTACTCCTGAAGAAATATGAGCTCAGACACATGGTATGTTGAAGTTTGGATTTCACCAAGGCAACATCAACTTCACGGTCTTGGCTTCCGTTTTGGGGATTATTATGCTGATATTCATGCCCCCCACCCCACATACTGAAAGTTTCTTCCAAACCCATGAAATACCAATAAAATGTTGTCACCCCTTGTAACAGAGATGGCAAATATAATACAAAGACTGAGCCAAAGGGCATGTCTTGATTTGAAATGGCCCGTCGTTGTTTTCAATGAATGGTCTGCATCCGATTACGAATTGGCAGAGAAACTGCTTAAAATACAGTGTTGTACAATTCTTAAGGGGATGCGATACTGTATACACTGTATAAGGCGTTCACAAAGACACTGTAATCCTTTTGAATATGAGTAATTAGTCACCAGCACTTAAAATATTGTTCCAATAGTTAAACTCTTTAAGATGTCCTAAACGTTTCAAAAACATGTATAAAAAATGAATGCAAAACAGCATGCTCTACAAAACACACACTCGCACATGATTGATGTCTACCCCTGACCCAGGATTTCAGCAATGGCTCATTGAAAAGAAAAAGCAGAGAGTTACAAATGCTAAAAGCGTTCTAGTATTGATGCAATTTTGTCACAATATTTATTTTGTTCTGCAGGAACTTTGAAAACCAGCTTCCATTATTGGAGGGATCAGATGAAAGCGTGAGTTACTGGCGGCGCCGTGGCCAGGATTTCAGCGTGCTGCTGGACTACACAAACCACCAACCGCCTCATGTTGACGTCTCTCCGCCTGCCTACCTTGCAGGGTTACGAGATCAACCCCCATCATACAACACAGTGCAGCATGGCCCTTTCAACCAGACTGCAGTGTCTCGCGAGGCAAACCCCCCACCGTACCCTGCAGTGTCTCGTGACTCGACTCTTCCCTCGGAATACTCTGGATTGCACGGCTACCCAGCTAATGCAGAAGCAATCCCACGCCCCAGCACCTACCCGCAGCCTCCACCATACAAGGCTGAACCTCCGACCCTGGAATTATCTCAGAACTCTGCACCACAGACTACACAGCTGCAACAAAGTAAAATAAATCCAGACTATGCATTATTGACCGATCAAAGTAAAAATATGCACAGGAATAGCAGAGAAAAAGTGAATTCCAAATATGTATCAAGCCATTGCTGTAGTGACTACCAGGACATGTCAGGGATGTATTACTCCTCAAGTCAGTGTGGTCAGGACAGCAAAGACATGTTGGTGAATCCAGGCAAAGGAAGCACTTCCCTCCAGGCAACATCAGATGCACATGCAATATTGTACACAGGAAAACAATACTTTGAAGCAACTCCCCTACCAACAGAGAAGATTGAAAAACCTCAAACATTCAGGCCTCCACCGCCAACATACGAGATGTACCAAATGAGAAGCAAAGATTGCTACAAGGGACCAACAACACAAGTTCAATTGAAAAACTTGTGTTGCCATACGAGTACACATGAAAATGGGCAATACAAGTCATCAGCAGAATTTTCCCCAGACAGATTTATGCCTCCTGAATCACAAATGAAATATCAAAATGTACAGCTGCCCACATACATCAAACCACCAGATTACATTTCTCAATATAAAGAGAATACATCTCATCAAAATCAACATGCAAGCAATGAAAACAGCATTGACTCTACTGGTGAAAACAAACAAAAACTTAGAACAGCTCGTGTTGAATACATTCCATTCACAGACCCACGAGTGCGAATTGTCCCCAAGGCACACTGGGAAACTGAGCGCCAAAATCAAGACAATGGTCACAGTGTGAGGAAGTCTACAAATGACAACAATTCTGTAAACTACATTCAAGTAAAGGAAGGCTTAGACAAACAATTGTTGTACTCAAAGCAAATATCACCTCCATCACTTGTGTTACCTGTACTAAATCAGGATTCATATGTTTGGAGAAATTCGCAGTCAAACCATGAAATCAACAAGCATAAAATGCATTCAGATGACATAACGTACATGCAGTTAAAATATCCGGACAGTACCTCAACAAGTGCTGATCATGCATTTCACTCAAGAAAGGGCCACATACAAGAAACAGCAAGTGAACATAGATCTGTGTTGCATACAGATAAAAAGGAGGGTATTCTTCAAGGTGACAAGACACATGAAGCAAGTGGTGGTCAGATGCCACGTAGCCTGCTTGGAGTCCGGACCGGCGTGCATCAACGAGGAGCTGTGGGAGAAACTGTGTTCTGTTTGATCTCCGTGCCAAGTCAGTCTGTGGATGTGGATCAAGGTGGCATTTGGCTCCCAGATGTGTCAAACGGCAGCAGTAACACCGTTCCCGAACACTCCCACCAGCACACGCAGTCTGCAAGTGAGCTGGAGTTGCAAGCACTCACTGGGAAAATGATCGCCGAGGAAGAGGCACGCAAGGCCAAAGAAAAAGCAGAGGAAAAGGCGAAAAAGCATGCATGTGAAAGCCAAATATTAAGTCACCCACTGAAATTTAGTTCTGAACTAAAAGGTGAAGCAAAAATGTATGACACACGTCAAAAACCACTATCACAAAAACATCAGCTTAATAATGTTACCTTGCACTGTGTTCCAAAGCAGCTATATCCTGATGAACGAACATTTGTGTCACAGAAAAATAGACAAATTCATGGGCATGCTGTAGAGGTGGAGGGTAAACATTTCCAAGCCTCTAATTGCAGGTGGAAAACCCAAAATTCACAAAATACATCCCATATTACTGGTGAAACGAAAAATGAGGAAATTAAAAGTGAATTTGGATCTAAAATAAATGGAAAACAAATACAGATTCTTAAAGAAGGTAATACTAAAGTCGGCTCCAAAGGAAACAAATCTTGTCAAAACAGGGAAACTGGAAAGAGAGGAACAAATTGTGGCAAGGAAAAGTTCAATAGCAAGTATTTCTATAAAGTCAAAAGCTTAAAAGAACCCACAGGAACACATAGTCAAGCAGCCATCGAAGCCAATACACAAGTTCCTACAATAACATTGAAAGGAAACAGTCTTGCAGATTCATTTAGTTTTGGACAGTTTCTACTGAGACCCGTGGGAAGAAGACCATGGGATGTGGTGAGCGAGTTGGAAAACATAAATCGAGAGCTGCAAGATGATCCCGAGGAACAAGACCACGATCCTTCCATCCGGCGTCCTCAAGATGTCTACCAACGCTTCCATGTGCTCATGCCCAGTGGGCAGAAGGATGAACTGACACATACACTAGAGAGGAGAAAATCGGAGCCAAACCTTTCAGAACTGCCATCTAGTCAGTATGAAAGATCACACATTGCATGGGGCTCAAAAAATAGCCGTCAAAATGTAGGAGATTATTCATCACCATACTCATCTGACGGTTCTACTACCAACAAAGTGGAAATTGATGACGATGATGGAAATGAACAAAACAGGATTAAAGATAACTTGGAAAAAGAAAACTTGCATTTCCATCAGAAGGGGCCAAGTGAGAGACTTTTGCATTACAACAGAAGCCATGGGAATGATGTATATATGAGCACACCATCATCTACACTACAACGAAGACATGGGCATTCAGAGCCAGATCTAACAGCTCTTATTGCCTCTCAAGAACTGGGAGATGAACATGAAGATCAATCTGAGTTCGGTTTTACATCTACATCACTCAAGGAGTCCCTTGCTGAAAGGGCTGCAAGGATTCTTGGAATATCTATATCTGAAGATGCGCTTCTTGCGCCAGATAACATCACTGCAACAGAGAGCAAAGATGCCTTGACCATGGAATTTGATGGTAATTTTTGCGACATTACTACAGGCACAGAAAAGGCCACACACAACTCTAATAATTTATTTGGTGAAAATAAGTTGCTCTTTATAAATGGTTACAGTGACAATGAACAAAATGAAACATCAAAACATGGTTTACAAATTAAAAACAAATGTGACAGCCACAAAGATAAACTAAACAAATCTCGAGTAATTATTTGTAAAGATGAGCTAACATCATACACCAGCACAAAGCTGTATGAAAGCCACACTCAAGAGGAAATGTCACCACCAAAATATGCCAATGGAAATCAGCCTGACAGAAAAACAGATGATGAGAATACAATTAGGAACCAGGTTATCTGTGCGTCTGGAGATCAGTACAATTGCAATATCACTGGCTGCATTACAGAGCCACGATTCTATTCAAGCTGTAGCATGATCTTTTCCCCAATTAAAATGAAATCTGAAAACACAATTCATGTGAAACATATCGAGCAGTCTAAATCCCCTCTAATAGTAGAAAATGTCTGTTCTATGAAAGGTGAATGTGAAGACTGTTCTGACATCCCTGGCTGTCTCTGTCTGGTGAAGGATGATGGGTTTGTAGACAGTTTAAGTAAGCATGAACGTAGAGATAGGCAGCTGAATGAGTGTAACCGGATGGCACTCGCAGAGCATGCTAAAGTCGCATGGGAATACACAGACAAACTTAAAGCTGCTGCATCGGATTCCATTAAGGACAATGGACACGGCTTGGATGATGTGCACGGTTGCTTACCTCTGCATGTTCCCACTGTTAAAACAAACACTGAAGCTACTAACACTCTGCTTGCTGTGGATGTCATTTGCTCCTAACCTGCTTCCCATCCCGACTAAAACAGTCAAGTAAAGGTATTGGCACTTCATAACAAGTTTGCACCATCATACTGCATGAATCGTTACACATTTCTGCTGTCATTTTATCTTACGAAATAATCTTCACGTAAAAAAGTATAACATTTCAGTATTGTTTATTGAAACCTTCAGAGTATCCGAACAGAAATGTCTACTATATTGTATTTTTGGTGTTGTACTCATATTTTAATGTGGGAAATGTTAAAATTCTTTAAATGTAGTCATTTCTAAATGCTATGTTCGTCATTTATAATAAAATTTACACTTTTTTTGTTTTTCAGATGGATATGATCCTAGTCATATTGAAATGGTATAATCCGATCATGAAGAAATGTTCTTGGATATATTCTTGTCAATGTCAACATTTCTTTAAATGTCTATTTTTAACAATTGTCATGATGTTAGTGTTTTTTTTTTAAATACATTTGCAATTGTGAATACAGTATTATTATTCATTGTTTACTTTTTACTAGCCTATGTGTTTATTCAGACAATCAATGCATGCTTATTTAATAGTCATCTGCTGTCACAGAACAAGTGATGTTGTCAAGAATACTGTTTTAATCAAAATCAGCACAAAAATGTCATATATCAAGCTTAATATTGTTTTTGGTAAATATTCACTTTCATTATTTTGTCAACAGTTTACGTATTATTGTACTCCATTTTAAAGTTACACGGCTTTTTGTACTGTTGAATTTTACTTTTCATATTAAACCAGAAGGAATGTGTATGCAATATATAATACCGCAACAAATCTTAAAACTGCTTCAGAAAAGAGTATATATACTTTTTTAAACTAAGTGCTACTATATATATGAATGTTTTTGTTCAATAAAAATACATTACAAATATGATAAGCTATAATAGGATCTTATACCTACAATGTACGTACATATTTTAATGAAATTAAGGCTTTAAAGGGAAATTTAATATGCATAAAAGGTCACTTATAGCCATGTCCCATCCGAGCAGATCTTTACTTTCCAGATGGTGTGGCTTGTTTTCCCTTTCCACGTGACTGTGTTTTGGCTTGATATGGTGCCCTTCCACTTGCACCTGTTCTTGCCTGTTGTCTTTGAAGTTTTATCTGTGTGAAGCAAGCTCAGCTGTTCAACACATTTACTTTGATAACATTTACTAAAACAACCTCTTGTTTCAACAGTGAAGCCACCTTACCTTAACTTCTCAAAATGATTTTATTGCTCTTTATTATGCAATACTAAGCTTTTTCCTTTAATTAAATCTACTATGAATTCTAAAACATTTTATTGTATACATGTGCACAAATATATAATATGTTGTATGTGAGGTTTTTAAATGTTTTCCCCCAGATTATACAAATTGTGTTTTCTGCATCATACCACGACTCAAACGATTCCATTTAGAAATCACAGCAGTGCATCCCATGTGTCCGAGAATGGTGAACCAAATCGATATTTCAGAGGATTTACCATAACAAATATACCTTTTTTATCCGACAGAATGGGGTGCACTTTCCCATAATCTCTGAAATAAGACTGTTGAATGACAAAGCTGATATTATTTTTTTATACTCAGTGGTGGAATTTAGCTAAATAATATGAAAATGTTGATTTAATATGGATTTTTGTAAGGTCATTGGTGGCCAGGCTGAGACCATCAACTCATCACACTTGAGAACTCAGCTTATTCACGGGTGGCTACTTGGATTAGAACCCAGGATGCCAACCGTGCTGACTCAGTGCTCTGACTTATGAGCCACATGGCCACCTCTTGCATGAGACTATTTTAAGAAAACCACTCACTCTTTCCTGGTAACGCTTTTCCAATTCTGCCATATCCTCTTCTTCACGGAGCTTTAAGTTGGCGATGCCCTGTGTGAGTGAGTTGTTGGCACCTGCAGCAAAATATTTAATTGCAGCCAAGTACAACATTGAATGTTCATGTAAATGAACCAACGAACAATTTTAAAATACTGTAGTGTTATAATCAGAAATTTATATTCCATGACAGTATGACTTAGGAATATACATACAATGTATTTAATCTTGCAAAAAACGAGTTTTACCTGCATCAGCTGTGGATCTTGAAGAATTATGGGGCAGTAGTGAGGCTGCTGTCCCTGAATGTGCCCTCAAAAATGGATGGTCATGAGCAGTGATGGGGGCATTTAGCAAGTCATCTCCTGGAACACCTACAGAAAATGGTGCACAAAAAAATATTAGCCGTATTTCGTAAACATGGAAACTCATACAAAAAAATATTGTGCACTGTGTTTACATGTGTTGTTCAGTGCTGTATTTTGTCACATAAAGAACTGCATAAAACAAGCGTTTGTTCTACTTATGAATGCTCACCTACACCACTTGCATCGAGTCGAAGGTAACCCTCAGCTAATGAGCTGAAGCCGGTGAGGCCCCCCATGGCTGCATACGGTACATCATGTCCAACTGGCTTCCCACGATCCACACGCTGCTCCTTTGTTTCCACTACCATCTGGTGAGCTCGTGTCGGGTACCCACAACCGCATGAGAATGAGCTTTGGAAGCCCTTGCAGACTGCACCTGCAAATAAAGAGTATGCATTTTTATAGTGGTAGAAAGATTAATTGTAGATTCTGAAATACTGTACTAACATTTCAACAATGGTACCCAAGGAATACACATTGTGCAGCAAATTACACATACAACATCAACCATAACCGTGATGTTTAAGGATTTAGGGGTTTAAAAGGTTTAAATATAAGCAGAGTAGTGTATATATTTTGTATATATGTAATTAACAATAAACACTTCTAAGAATTGCCATGTATGTATATGTTGAACTTCTTTCGCACCGCACAGTCAACCATGCTAATCGGACGTGCGGGGAAAGGACAACAAATTAAACACACATGCCTACTTGTTTGGACTAAACATTTTTTAAAGGATGTATTTGTCCCAACTTACATTTTTTACAAACATATGGCTCATATTCATGGTGCTCATTGGCTGGATGCTTGCAGTGACAGCGGATAGCCTGGGATCCATTTCTTGGAATATAGAGGTAGGAAGCACAGCGACATCCATGAACTCGACAAGGTAAATGTATTGGTCGTTCTTTGGGGATCTCCTCCAGGTCAGTCTGGTGCTGCTTGTATCTGAGGAAATGTAAACAACTAACATTTTCTATTTACCAACAACAGTATGATTCATTTGGTTTAACACATCGGCTTTCGTGGCCAATATCCATAAAGGTGTATTGGGTTAGATCGCGTAAATATAAATGTGTTGTCAACACACCAACACCTGACAGCCAATTAGTAAGGTTTGTCACGGAAACAAAATGTGCCAATTAGTGACTACTTAAGCTTACCAGTGTGTTGGAGAGTAAACCCACGACATTTACAATTTGAGTATGATGTTTTGCTGGTGATTACAACCAGCTTCAGGCGATTTTACAGAAATGTAAAAAAAGTTTTAATGCTTACAAAAATCCTTTATTATTGAATAATTGCCAGCCCAAACGATTAAAGTGGTAGGATATCAATTGTTTAACCTTTTACCACATGTCGATATTCAAAGTTAATCATACCGCTTTATACAAATTGAGAAAAAAATATATATTGCCGTTTGCTTTGAGAATCTGTATGTGGTATCAGGTTTTAAAAATTGGCAAGTTACTGCTTAAATTAGTAGCGTTGGCAAGTACGAGTATTCACAGATGACATAGCATTTTGAAATCGAGTAAATTTTATATATGACATCAATGTATATTCTACTGTATAATTAAAACAAAGTGCTTAAACGTAAAAAAATATGAAAATGTGATATACCCGGTCAGGAACATTACCTAATGAATAAAACTAGCTTGTAAAATAAGTAATGCATTGCAATTGCAGGCAATATAAAAGGCAATGCATAAGGAAACCATTTCAGTAGTGGTTCAGATACACCTTATTGGCTATATCTACATAAATTGCAAAGGACAGGGATGCTGTTGAATGTAATGGGTAGCACATCGCATTTGCTAGGTGATCGTTAGGTCGCTTGTGATGAGGTAAAGTGGGTGCTCCCATCTTTTCCAGAAAATCTGGTGAGCATTGAAGAGTGGAGCTTCCTCTCGTGGAGGCCCTTCCGTTAGCAGTGGTGTGAGTAAGCAATTGCAGGGCTGCACCTTTAAACGTATAAAGGACATCGCATCAACCCCTGCCATCATTTCAAAGGCAATTGAGTTCTAAACAAAAAGTGAAGCAGATTTTATAATGTTAATAGCACAAACGATCTGCTTTTAAATAGATAACTTTAACGTAAGGGCAAGATTTCCTTCAGTTCCATTCTTAACCTCCCTCCATGGATCCGGTTTCCATTATGATGAATCAATGCTAGTAAGCTCTGCATAGCAAATTTACATTTTGGATGGAGGTTAGTAAACGTGGAATAGGGAACTATGTTAAGGTGTGCGCAATGGAGTTCAAGACACCCTGCTGCAAGAAAATTGAGTTGAAACAGCAAACAGAAGACACACCTGTGAGTGCAGAAGCATGGGGTCTCCGGCCCCACAAGCTTGCAATCCATGCCGGTCGGACCGCTCCAACTTACGAAGAGACGATTGCGCTCCCGCTGGGGGAGCACCCGTCTCTTGTAGTCGGCGTACTCCTGTGGACTCATCAGTTTCCCGCCGTCATCCTCTCCAACGATCCTGTCAGCAATCACTCGTGACTTTAGCTTGACTCAGATAGACCAGACGACACCGATTTACTGTGACCTGCTGAATTTCGATTTAAAGCTTTCGTGACTGCAGGGATTCATATTCTTGGTTCTTTCGGTAAAGTCACGTAGAAGGGAAATAATAAAATAATAAAAATAAGCCAATAAAATTCTCACGTTTCGGCCACAACGCAAGCAGCCATCCTCAGGTGAAGAACAGAGCTGTCGGAACGACAGCTCTGTTCTTCAATGCTGGTTTGTGTTCTTCAGCAATGTTGAATAAAAATGCGATAAATATAAATGTGAAAGTTAGTGTTTCCCGCACGGTGAATAAAGCCAATAATTTCCTTCATTTTCAAGCAGATGAGTCTATAGAGGTTGTGGGCTTGTTTTGAGGCCAATTTTAGCAAAACCCTCTTGCTTTTTTACATTATTCTGAAAAATGTCCTACAATATGAAGATATTTGACCGTTTGAACTAAAGCCAACAGTAAAAGTAGAAAAGGGCAGTTGGATCGTTTGTTCCATTTCGTTTGGAAACATGAGAGACATTGAAGTTTGAAATGCAATGCTCATGACTCCACAATCAATTTTACCAGCTGAAATACTCTGCACATGCTCTGACTTGGCGAACCATGTAAAACATTCATGAAATTGGTCATTTTTTTTCTGTGAGTAGTGTACACTCAAACCGAACCATCAGTTTCGTGGACCAGCTTAATACCACACTGGTAAAGCTGTCCCCTAATTCCGGCTTCATTAGGCAACTGTGAGGGGTTCTTTTATTTAAAGCTTTCGTGACTGCAGGGATTCATATTTTTGGTTCTTTCGGTAAAGTCACGTAGAAGGGAAATAATAAAAATATTGAATAAAAATTATCACGACGTTTCGACTGCAACACAAGCAATCATCATCAGGTGTGAAATCCACAGCAAGAAATTTTGAAAAAAGTGGCGTTTTTTTATTTTATTATTTCCCTTCTACGTGACTTTACCGAAAGAACCAAGAATATGTGAGGGGGTTGTTTGTGAACATGTCCATGTTTGGAGGAGGATCGTGAAGCACGATGCTGCTACTGGGCAGTTGGAGGCAGTTGCCCTCCAGCAACAACGGATGGCAGATGAACGACGCTCACAACAACGAGCGGAGCACCGGGCCGGTAAAATCCAGCAACGTTGGCACAGTGGGGGGGGGGCACAGCCGGTGGTGCATCCCACGGTCATCTCAGTCAGCCAACCCATGGCACCTGCTGGGTCTGTCCCGAGACCCTCACTCTAAGCGAGCCTTCGACAACTTCACGTGGCCACAAAGTGCACCCAGCCTGGCACAGGCAACGTGGGGACGTCACAGTCACTTCGTGGCGGGTTATTGGTTTGCCGATCCATGCCATAGCAAAACAAAAGCTAATTTCAAACTATTCTATTCGGCAGGTGCGGATAATCGCCTACCGAAGGTGAATTGTTAGGGCTTAACGGCTAGATTCACAACAAAGTGTAAGCGTTGTTTATGGCGTGCGATGCCAAGACGTCGTGACAGCAACCTTACTAATTGGCTGTGTCGGGTGGTGGCGAGTTTAACGACACATTTATATATTTACGCGATCTAACCCCCCCCCCCCCCCAAAAAAAAATCTCTATTATCAAGACTTACAATTGAAAAAAAAACGGCTTTTATAAAATGCGCAATCCTGTAAGGCGCACTCGTTAAACGTTCAAAAAAGTTTATAGAAAAAAAGTTAATATTTAAAAAAAACACGCTCAACCACACGGCGGGGAAAGGGTGTCCAAACTTGCACCTCTTGTACTCGAGATACTCGTCCACGGCGAGCGCCGCGTCCGCGTTCAAACGAAACCCTTCCATGTGGGGGGTGGTGGTGGTGGTAGTGGTTAGCGAGGGTGATGAAGCGACGATCGAGCCGCAGTTCTTCGAGTTGATTCGATCAAAAGTGTCAAGAGGGACCCCCCCTCACCGCCACCGCCACCAGCCGCGGTGTCACCCAGGAAGGGCGCGCGGCCGTCTCCGTGGCGACGCGCCCCTGTCACGTGACGCCGCGCTCCTGTCACGTGACGCCGCAGTGACGACGTCGTCGTCGTCACGCCGAGTGGCCACGTGCTGCTTTTGCTTTGTCCGTTTCGTTGGTCTTGAACCGAGCAGGCGCGAAATCGGAATTTGAATGTTTTCGTTTTTTATCACTGGACGAATCCGATGAGCTGTAAAGCTTGTTTGTTTAAAACAGATGTCCAGTGTTGTATTGATACAGAATAGTGTTTCTTCACTAATTTCCGATGCGCTACAAAGCTTTTTTTAAACGTGTCCAGTGTTGTATTGATACAAAAGTGTTTCTTCACTGATTTCTGATGAGCTACAAAACAGATATTGCTACAGAATAGTGTTCTTCACTAACTTTCAGTGGGGGGGGGGGGGGGGGGGGGTACTTTCGCCGAAAAGACATCAGCGTTAGAGCCACTGGCGTTGGACAGCATTGATGGGATGCGTCAGGGGCTGCACTAAAGGCCACCAGGGGCCGCCAGTGGCCCGCGGGCCTTGCAATGAAGAACACTGCTACAGAAGAATACTGCATCTGAGCTGGACCCAAAGTGTGATCAATGTAGAAGAGAAAGGTTGCACATTAGAAGACCTGATGCAAGGCAGTGATGAGGATACTGGCACTATTTGGACACGCACGTAGTTTGGACAACAGGAACATTTAAAGTGTATTGTGCGGAAAAATGGAAGGAATCGGAAAAAGAGGAAGACCTAACGGAGAATGGCTTGACGACGACATAAGCGATTGTCGTCAGAAAGATGTGGCACTACTTTAGAATATTGGCATGACACAGAGGAAAGTGGAAACAAACGACGAAATGTTGCAGTGGACACGTATGGGCTATCTGCCTATGGTTCATGATGATGATGACCGCCACATCCCCCATGATATTATTATGCGTGTTACCCAGGAAAGCCTCAGTGAGTCTCATGATCCTGTTTAAGGAGGGTCCTGCCCAGTTTTTTTTGTAGTAGGGGGCAATGATTGCTCTGTTGATACCAATTGTATGTGTGCATGTTGAACCACTTTCACACCATACCTAGCCAACCGTGCCAATCGGAGGAGCGGAGGAAGGACAAACTAAGCACAAAAATAAGTTATAAATGAGTTTTAAATTTCCAAGTGCGTAGCTCCAGTGTCTTCCTAATATCGGAAGAGCGTTCCAGATGGCCACAAACGCACATCAATTTCGCTTTTAACGCAATTGACTAATTAGCGGATAACTTTACTTTTTTTGACAAATTTGGTCCGTGACTTAATTATTGTGAATGACGTCGCGGGATCTTAAACATCCACTGAAGCTGACGGCGTGTTTTTGTTTAAATAATACACCCGCAGAATTTACCAAGGCGACATTCGGATTCGAACCGTGAACCTTGCTACAAGTGGGGAACACGTTGCCACTGCCCCATGACTGCCAACATTATCAGGAATCCCTCACATTTACCACTGTAATTAGGGTGTCACCACCTCCGAAGAGGATCTCTCCTGTTATCATGAACAGTTCGCCATAAAAAGACCAACGTTGCATCAACACCTGCACGATATCACCATGACCAACACAATAGAGTACTGTACCGTGTAATATCCGCGCTACAATCCGCGGGGTGCCACCGCAGTTCGTGGCAACTCCCGAAATCCGCTTTGTAGAAGATCCCCAAATCTGCGAGTTTTTTTCCACCAGGAGCAGCCAAGTCTTCAAATTACAGTCACGTGTTTTTAGAGTATGTTTTGTCGTGTGCCGCAAATTACAGGGGATCTGCCAGAAGGTTCCCCTACACTCCACGTCTTTGAGGATTACTACCATATAGAGTACTACAATGCCTTTTTAACAATATCCACGGACATGATAGTGATATAACCACTATGTTATTATCACCAGCATCAGCAGTAATACGACTATCACATAAACACCATCAAATCAACTGCTGGATGAAGGCCTCCCCCGTAACCTTCCCTGATTTGCGATGCCATAATCCATCTAATTTCATTAGTTAATCTCTGATGGTTTTCTTGGCCACGTTCCCTTTTTATGGCTGACATTCCGTCACCAATTTTGTCCATAATCCCTTCGATGTCCCCTCTTTTGTCTGCAGTTTTGTCCATCATCCCAAGTCTATTTTTCCTAGCTGTCAATAGGATATCTCTAAGTAACATTTGCTTTCAGATCCATGGTTTTTCTTTTAGTGTAATTCCCAGCAAGCATCTCTGCATGCCCGTTTTATACTTTAAAGTTTTTATTCAGATTTTATTTGACAGTGTCCATGTTTCCGAATCATCTATCATAGCCGGAAATATGCATTCATACAAACTTTCGTGAAGCACATTAGTATGTTGCTTTTGATTATAACATTTTATTTTCTAACATTTGCCTACAGAGTCATCCAATCAATACTATTCTATAAAATACACGAATATCAGACATTTACGTTACGCTTGCCATTTGTAACCATAAAGTGTTCGAATTAGTATTACAGTATCTAATGCAGTCATTCAGGCTCTTACAAATTGAGGACTTACATATAGAAGTTATGAAAAGCATTCCAGATTAAGGATGGTACAGCTACACATGAACAACCAAAATCATCACCACCACATCATGAGTTAACATTTACACCATATTTCAACATTAATTTCACAATAATCAACAACCACAATCATTTTCATCACGACCACCACACCCTCACAAGCACAGCACATTTAGACAATTAGCATCACCATCACGTAATTTTAAAACCACCATCACATAATTTTTGCATCTACGTTTAAACCTAACTGATTATGGTCATGTATTATACAAAGCAGCATCAAATTTGACTGAAGATAAATTAAATCTCATATATCACTCAGCTCTTCAAATCATATTAAATATCATTTACTGTATTCTACTCATCATTGTAACTTTAATTATGAAAATGTGTATTCACTGTCGACTAAGCGGGAATTATAGTACTTGGGCAAAATTCATTTTCAACGCGATCAATAATAGATTGCCTTCTGTCCTCTCTGGCTGACTTCTTCCTGACATACATCCTTGCAACCTAAGGTATGTTACGGGGTTGCGGTGTACTGTTCCAAGAGTTAATAATAGTTTTGGGCAATCATGTTCGTTCACATCGCAAACCACTTTCTTGGCCTAGCGTCGCCTCTGCTGCATGCATTGAAGCTCACCTCAATACATTTTATTACAAATTATACATCTTCAACAAGACTGTGGAACTTCTTGCAATTTTACAACCTTTTTATATTTATGACATATATATCAATACTCAAATTTGACTTATTTTTTTGTATTCCCACTTCAAAATGCTAATTTTAACTTGTTTTCCATAGATTGTGTTATGAATAAGACGCGGTTCATGTTGTCTTAAAATGGTTGTTTCCATCTGGTGGTGAAATAAAAGTATGATGAACCACAATTGTCACCATAATGACTTCACATCAGCATAACCACAACCATTATCACCATCATCATAACCACCACACCATGAAATCAACATCTACTATCATGAATAAATCACCATCCCATAAAACACAAAGAAATGCACAATTAAATATTTTGTCATATGGACAATGACAGATTTATTTAATGTATACAGTACCTGTATTTAAACATAACTACTTACAATTACATTAGATATTCTAAAGTAATTTTCTCATTTGTATATATATTAAAAAAAAACTTTTTACAATTGTCTAATATTCCTAAACATCTAAGTGCATTTACAATTTAAAAAATAACATTCAAGTACTGTATTATAGTAAAATAACAAATGGCTGATTAAAATTAGTGAAGACGTCTGGAGATTGCTGCATTCTCAAATGCAAATCTTCACACTCCTGGCAGGTCATGTTTTCCCTAAACACAAATCAATAGTAGAGGCATTAGGATGCGAAAATTAATAGTTATGGAAAAAGACAACGGAGTGGTGAGTTTAATATCAGTGTTGCATCATCATTTAGTCGTATATGAAGCCACATTTGTACATCTGATGTTCGAAGCAATTCACGCAAAAATGTATCCTCTTACACAAGCGTATGCAAAATGTAAAAATATTTTAAAACATTTAGTTACAAACAGTTTACGGCATTAATTCCAATCTATAAATGATGAGAAAACACATCGTAACATTACTGCATGCCGAACACATTTCGACTAAGCATTAAAAAGCTCAGAACCTGTCAGTAGTTTCCATTTGGTGTGTCGTGTGATGGACTTGGCGCCTTTCTGAATGTGTCTCCAGCCACCACCATACGGTAATATTGGTCATTCTCATCCAGCACTTTTATTTGGCTCCAGTTGTGTAAAAGAAAAACAAAACATAAAATAATCTAAGTATTCTTTAAACCGTCCAACTTTCATTCTAATTGTGTTATAATTCTCGATATATTTTTCCAAAAAACAGGCACCAGCATTTGAGGGAACAGTATACAATGGGTACTTTATAGCACAAATATTGTTGTGATAATTGTTTTTTTACCCTTTTATCTGGCAACAAAACTGACACCTTTTTTTTACAAGGAGTCATGTTTGCATTGACCACAATACCTGCGGTCGGTATGCAAAAAAAACACAACTCTGATAATGTATGCTCTGTCCTTGAAAATGATTGGTCCACGCCCGAGACAGCTTTTCTTAGAGCCTAGTCTCACATGGTGTTGGACCAGATGACGCCAAAAGGCGCACAACTCAAAGACAATGCACCATCAGAGTATGAAAGCTTGGGTGAAGCATTAACACCATTGGAACCTCCTTTGCCAGTAGCAAAATATGTCAGTTTTGTTGCCAGTTAAAAGGGTAAAAAAACAATTATCATATTTTGCTACTGGCAAAGGAGGCTCCAATGGTATAAATATTGTTGTGTTTAAAACAGAAATGGCAAAAGTGGGTCACCTTGTTTTACGTGATTTTCTCTTCATTAGCTGAACACTGGGAGAGGCCTAGAAAACAAAAATAGGCATTTAAATACCATCGTTCATAAATGCACCTTTGGAAATATACAACGTAACAATGTGGGACTTTATAAATTGTTTGAACTGAGCAGGTATCTATTTCCATCAACATATTCCAATATAAGTTGATCGTTTTTCTTCAACAAAAGAAACGCCTTTTGTGGAAATTAAACACGTGGCTTTGTAGTCCTGGTTAAAATTGTAAGTTTAACACTGCACACTGTACGGAGCTTTCCATTGATGTCGTGGTGCCACGCAGTGTCAGGAATAAGTTGTTCCCCGAAAACGGCAGCGCACCGACGAGATGAGCACCGATTTAAAGCTTTCGTGACTACAGGGATTCGTCTTCTTGGTTCTTTCGGTAAAGTCACGTAGAAGGGAAGTAATAAAATAATAAAAATAAAACATAATAAAATAATAAAAATAAACCATAATAAAATAATATGTTTTATTTTTATTATTTTATTACTTCCCTTCTACGTGACTTTACCGAAAGAACCAAGAAGAGAGATGAGCACCGTTATGGACCCTGCAGCCCGTGGTGGCGCTTACCTGAGCGACGTCTTTACCAGCGCTGCTTAGCAGCTGGCTGTAGTACAGATTGTCTTCGGGAGAGTGCAGCAGCTTTGGTTGCATTTTAGAGCGAGGTGTGCGAGTCTGTTTTGGCTGTGTCCCTAACACACACACACACACGAAATATTTCCTTCAGAAATGACAGGACTATTTTATATTTATCCACATGCAGCGCACCAGCCATATCCTGAAGTCACCGAACCGAGCAGCAGTATAACTGCTTAATATACATTTTAAATACCGTACATAAATTAGCCACAACAGTTTTAAAAACGGAAGAGTGGTCACCACATCTACGCCTCTATATAAGGAACGAAACGGTTAGACTTCTGCACAAATCTGGCTGTCGCCTGATGTAATTACTGGCGAAACGTCGTACTCAGATTGTAAATGTTGTGGCTTGGCTCTCCAACACACCGGTTAGTGCTATACTAGTGACGAATTGGGCAGGTTCTGTTTACGTGACAAACCTTACTAGTTGGCTGTGTTGGGTGGTGGCGGGTTTTAACGACACATTTATATATTTACGCGATCAAACCCAAATAAACTCTATTATAAAAGCAGGAGATGTTACTTTTATGTTTTGACAACAAAATTCTCGTAAATTCATATTTACTTCATTGCAACGTTTAAAACTACAACTGAAAGGTTGTTCAAGTCTATGAAAGCTCCGTTACTAAATCAATAATGATAAATGACCTTGCTGCAGAGAATCTTGGGAATCTTGTATTTGAATACCAAGCTGTTTCGCAGAGCCAGGCCTTGAGTGAGAGAGGGTCACCGTCTCCTTGACTTGGCTTGCTGGCACAGGGAGGTTAACACGCAGGAGTTGTTTAAGCACCGTCTCGGCACACTTGGAAACCTTATTTGAAAAGGAACATGACATTCGACAAAAGGACAACAAAACAAACACCAGAGTCACTTTCTTTGCAGGTACCCACAATTTATATTACCTTCAGACAAGCAAGCATATTCTATGGTTCTTTCGGTAAAGTCACGTAGATATAAAAAAAATAAAGTGATTAAAAATATGGCACGACGTTTCGATCGCAACACCGCTTGTGTGCGATCGAAACGTCGTGACATATTTTTAATCACTTTATTTTTCTTTTTTTTTCTTTTTTCTATCTATGTGACTTTACCGAAAGAACCATAGAATATGAATTCCTGCAGTCACGAAAGTTTTAAGTCTAAATTTTACAAACAAGCATGTTTGATGAATGTATGTGAAAAAATTAAGGCGAAGTCATTTACCCACCTCCTGGGAAAACCCATCAAGCCCGTCCTGGTTAATCTCAGGCTGCTTTTCCTCAGACTCCACATGTTCAGTGCGGTCACTATCATTAGCCTGGCTTGGGGCAGCACTTGCAACAGTGCTGGCACCTTCCGAAATGGCCGATTGCCCGTCCACGACATCAATGCTCTCGGCATTCTCTCTGGAGGATGCCAATACAAGAATTAATTCACACAAATAATTTACGAATATTACTTATTTGAATGCTGATAAAGAGAGAGATAGAGAAAAAAAACTTTGCTGGAGAGCTGATGGCAACTTTTCCGTGCGAATGCGAGTTAGCAGCGTGTACTAATTGGAGCCTTTACTCGGTTTGGTTGTCTTCTGGAGGCTGCTCGTGTGAATCTGTCGCGTTTCCCTGTGCGTCCTCGTGTGCGTCCTCGTGTGTATCCTCTCCACGTCTTTCCTTCTCCTGCTTGTACTGCTTCCTGGCTTTGTGCCCCCGTGCCGCTGTGAACACAAGCACATTTCCGACGATTTAAACTGCAGAATAATTCGGCAAACTACAGTATTATATATACACTGCTGCCTAGGTGTTCGCAGTTGTGCCCGTCTGGCTCTCCGGGGTGTGTTTTCGGGTTCGAGGGAGACAGTGAGATATTCAATTCAGTTCATGAAGTGACTCTCAGCAGATGGAGGCGAAACGTTGGACCTCGTGCTGAAGAACACGCGGTACAACCATGCGACGCATCGGAGCGCTACGCAGATGACAAATCCGACACTCAACGCTACACGTTTGGAAATGCATGACATAAAGTGCAATGTGACATCTGTAGATTGATGCATCTTGTACCAATTAAAATGTAAACAAAACATTTTATTGTGCCCTTCAAAAACAAAACACTGTAGAATACAGTATAGTACTTGTGTTCCTTTGAATCTCACATGTAAAAATATAGATCCTTAAAACAAATGTAGTCCAAAGAAGTAGGCAAATGTGTTTAGTTTGTTGTCCTTCCCCCGCACCTCCGATGGCCACGGTTGGCTACATACGGTGCGAATGAAGTTCAACATATACACAATCGCAGTTTACATCATCGATGCATTCACAGTGATACCATGGACCTCACTCACGTGGCTGTCACGGCTCTGCTGGAGATAACCGAGTGTGTTGTGCTGCTCGGCTGAGAGAAATGTGGAAAGTTAATTTATAACCAAAATGGGTGCTTCAACGTAAATGATTCCAAATGGAGTCGGAGAGGGATGAGCGGCTAATCATTAACAGGCTGCTCCCGGGGCAGTGATCATCACTGCGTGATTAGACCAGAGCATGCTAACACGAGTGAGCTAACTTCCTGTACTAACCCAACCAGTGTCAGAACGGAACCCGTGAGCCCCAAATACATATGTACTGTCATCTAAGACGAGAGGTAGGCTCAGTGGAGGAGCCAGGATTTTCAGGTAGAGGGGGGGGGCAACCCCTCCAGCAATGAAAAATGATAGAGGAGTTGTTAGTAAGTAAGGACTTGTCCCTTGCTTTTTATTCGAACCGTGTGTGATCGGCATCGTGCTCGCTGAAGGTGAATGCCTTCAGGGAAGTCGTGGACTGTAGATGCAATTGCGAACAATTCTAAGTCACTTATAACCGCTTTACCGTTATTTATTGATAATTATAGACTCAAACTATTGTCCTATCATCTCATAGAGTCCCTGGCAGGTAATAATATGCTTCACAGTGGCAGTGGGGGTTGCAAAATGCCGATTTATTACTAATAAACCCCAATGATCCGATCGAAATGAGGGATTTCGATCAGATAATTGGGGGGGGGCACGTGCCACCCCCCACTGGCTCTGCCACTGGGTAGACGTTTGCCATCCTGGCACGTTGAGATCTCAATTTGATTCGGCTCTCTATTCACCTGACTGAATGCAGATGGCAGCATCCTCTCGTTTCTTCTTCTGCTCACGGTACTCTCTGCGTACTTGGTATCCACGGAAACCTAAAACCACAGAAGAAACCATCAACTCTGCATCGCTATATATCCGTGCATCAGATGTGCTCATTATAACGATACTGCCCAAGATAAACCTTACATTGAGCTTCATATTTGTGATGCTATGTTGCATTTTTGGATCTAGGTTCTCGTCATGCTGTAGACCCCATAATTCAGCTTACTTGTCTCCGCTACTGTTTATCCGCTCGATCATTTAAAATATCTGGGCACGATGTAAGTCACATAACAGATAGGATTTGTTTTGTTTATCTTTTGTAAAGGTTACAATGGCCTCACGAAGCCACATTTTAATACTATCGTGCTAAATATTATGTCACTGCCTTATCGTTGTTGCCATTATTATAACACAAAACATTGGCATTTTTGTATTTTGTAATATTCCTGCATCACATTGCATTCTTAAAATTTCTGTGGGCTGACTCCCTGCAAGTAATGTATTATCACTGACTGTTATATAGCTGCCCACGTGCTAGTATATTGAGCCTCTTGGTATATGACACATTATTTATGGACAGAAGGAAAAACTGACCTCATTGTGCGGCAAACCATCTAACATAATGTGCTCCCATAACTGCAGCTGATATTTTGAAGGGAAATCTCACTTGCAGTTTAATTAACCTACTTACCTCCGAGTGCCACCTCACCTGACTGTATGACGAGGGCACTGTGGGTCCGTTCTTCCATGAGCTTTCTGAATTTCTTGACGGCAAGTCTGGTGCGCACATAGGCCTGCAGTTTCACGAGCCTCTCCACCATCTCCTTGATCAGCAGATTGAGATGTTCTGCATGGTAGTACTTTAAGAATACCTAGAGGCACATAGGCATCACACGGACAATATTTTATCTTGAAAGCAAGGCAGGTGTTTATTCCTCCAAGTGTTGTTTTACGTGTTGTAAAATGATGCTGCAAATGTATGAAAAAAATATATACGTGTGTAAAATAGGGAATCTTACCTTTGTCTTGCCAAGCACCCAGTTTTTCATTTTAACCTTCTCAAGAATCTCAACACACGTTTCTTGTTTGCCTGGTGGGGGCGAGTCTGCTTTGAAGGCAAGGATGTAGTACCTGCAGTGTAACATGTACAGTAGTAATAATAATGTTGTTACACAGTATTCGTTCAATGTCAAAGAGATAACGACTCAAGAGGCACGAGAAACCACAGACAAGCGGGAAGGCAACCACGCAGTGAGCTGACGCCCAAGCATCTGTGGTCCTCTCTACATTAAGGTGTTATTGGCCAATTCATGAGTGTTAACGTGTGGCAGGAAACCGGAGCACCAGGAGAAACCCCACGCATGCGAGGGTGCAACACTCTATCCCCTACAGGTGGAACAGTTTGAGTCCACATTTGCTGTACCGAATTGTGGCAAGTCAGGGTACGGCGCCCACGGGAAGGGAGTTGCACAACATTTGTGTGATCCGCAAAGCCTTGCCTCGACGGTGCTGAATTACAGGCGTGCGCCACCACCGCCCAGCTGAGTTTGTGAAATTCCGGCAGTGCTTATCTTGTACGCTTATATATGCAATTGGGAAGTAATGCATCAAGGTTAGCACTCCAGTGAGATCGTTTAAAAAAACAGACAGGTTATAGAAAGTCAGTTCCGATCTGCAGTTTAACTTTTTACAGTTAAACTACAGAGCACACAAAGCAAGCACTTAAACCATCGTCACTTAACAATATAAATCTATCTCAAATGCATCATTCGCACTTCCAATTAGCACAGTTGGCTATGTACAGCGCGAAATAAGTTCAACATACATACAACATTCATACTGCCTTAAAACATAAAATACAAAACAGGATAACATTGGGGGCAATGCTTCTTCTTCATGTACACAGTTTCCCAACCCCTGAGTGAGTGATTGTAAAGTGTTTCACCCCACCACATCTTCACATCTTCACAAACAGGCAGGAACAGATTGCGTTGCCGATTTACCCCACTTGGTAATGGAGACATCAGCATGTTTTCACCAAAACAAAATATTCGCCAACAGATAAAGCAGGCCATATTCAACCGTCTCGCATGACTTTTAATGTGAAATATAAATCTCATTGGGGACACGACCCAGTGAATGTTAAACAAGCTTGAAACAAATGGAGCTTCCACCCACACATGTGCTTAGTCACCAAGATCGCCTTCTTCCACCGGCACAAAATGTGCCTGTCTCCATACAAAGCTCACCCCTCCTGCTGCAGAGACCCCTGTCCATGCTTTTGTCACATCCCCCCGCCGCTCCAGCCCACCCAACGTGACGACGGGGCTGGCCCCACGAGTGTATCACCTCTTCTTGGTTCTTTCGGTAAAGTCACGTAGAATGGAAATAATAAAATAATAAAAAGAAAACATAATAAAATATATTATTTTAATACTATATTTTTATTATTATTATTTTATTATTATGTTTTATTTTTATTATTTTATTATTTCCATTCTACGTGACTTTACCGAAAGAACCAAGAAGATGAATCCCTGCAGTCACGAAAGCTTCAAATCGAGTGTAACACCTGTTGACGAATTCATGGAAGGGGATGCGGTGCGAGAAGCCCTGCCGTCGGATGTGGATGGTCTCCAGGATGCCCGTGTAGCGCAGCTGCACCAGCACTTTTTCCCGGTCAAACTTCTGCTCCTGACGATCGTTGTTGGGCTTAATGCAGCGCACGAAGTGGGGCAGGCCCGATGCCATCTTGGAGAGCAGGTCCATCAAAGAAAACTGCGGCGACGCATATGGCAACAGTGGATGGGTGGAATTAAATTCCAAACTAAAATCACAAATGGCACGAAAATAAACCGTGATTTTTTTTCCAGTCTTGAAGTTTGTTCAGCCAATTAATTATTGGGACATGTATGGTAATCAGAAACAGAATTATACATTTCTTTTAGATTACCCTGAAATAGGAGGAGACAGTTTGAGTTTTCATGTTCACCGTTTCCCCTGGGTGCTTGTTCTTCTCCATGGTATCGATCTGTAAATGGGAACGTGTTATTCTCTCTCGTGTTCATGAAGAAAGAAGGCACAATCGCACTGCTGCATGTTTACTGACTTGCTACCCTTCACAGAGAGGGAACTATGTTTAAATCTGAAAGCGAACGACTCATTTTTTTCAAGTGGGAAAAAAATGACAACTATAAAATCGATTTGTCATCGCCTATTATAAAGCTCAAGTGCACTCTCAAGGAAGCAGTGATCATGTTAAATGGACCAACGAAATGGAAACGATTACAGGCTGAGGGCTGCAGATATGCTTTTGCTAAATGACATGGATTACTTACATCATTTTCCATTTGCTCAAAACAGACGAGAAAGCAGTAAGTAAAGATGGCAAGATAGAGTCATTGTCATTATTATATGTGTCTTATTCTGTAAATGTGAATTGGTAAAAAGTAAAGTACTGATAAACTTGTGATTGGCCTGATCCATGTAGTTACTGCATAATCTGTGTGCACTGCATTCCCCTTCTAAGAGGCAGCATACGATATGAGAAAAGCATAATTTATTTTTTGTAGAGGTTATTTCCTAAATATTGTATCTATTTGACCTGGAGGAGAGAAATGTTATTTTGGGGTTAAAAGAATGACATTCCACGGCATTTCAATCACACATATTTAAAGTAAGCTGCAATCCTTTGTGCAAAGCATTTCCTACAACTTGGTCCGAGTATACAGCATGAAGAAAATATTACTTAACCGCAAGTAAACTTTGACAAAATGAACATCTCACAGAGCTTCTTTTCCCAAGACCTACGTAAAGCCCGTCAACTCCTCTTACCCTTATGTTTGCTGGTGTTTGACTCGGAAGAGACTTTGATGCACCAGGGACTCTTGATCGGATATGAGCCAGATTGCCTGTTGGGATAGGCCAGAAGAGGTGCAAGACGCTCAATTAAGTAGCAATAGGGGCATGGTCTTAAGTCACTTGTCTTCTTGTCAGTTGTCCGGACATGATGCTGTTACTGAACATGGACGGCAGAGAGAGCACACGAACTGTAAGCATCGCAATGTATCTCTACCACAAGGCGAAACATGATGCAGGGCAAAGAGTTTCATGTGGAGGCACGTCCACTGGGGGGCCTGCCAGCCCTTGAAATCTATCAACCAGGTGGCATTTTGTGGGCAGACACAATACAGATAACGGTCTAAACGCAATGATAATCGGTCTTTTAGTTTGTGTGAATGTGTATGGCTGACCAATGCACTTTATCTGCTTTGTCAACGTCACCAGCCATGATTTGTCCATTGCTGGATGAAGGCTTCAGCAAGCTGTCATCTCCCACAGTGTTGCAACAATCTGTTTACCTCTGGCACACAAGCTGTTTATATCACTCCATCCCCGTGTCCTCTTGGGCACGTTCGCTTCTGTGGCTGCCACGCCATCGTTAGTCTCGACCACGGGCTGTCATCCCTTCATATCAACGTGTCCTGCCCAATCCCACTTATTTTTGTCGACAGTTAATGTGATGCATCGAATGGACGTGTTTTCTGATGCATGTGTTCCTCTTCATTTTTCGATTTAATTGCTCTTGTATGCCTTGATCTTCACCATGCTATCGTTTTAAACATTAGGGGAGAGATATGTTACTTTATTTCGCAAACAAAATAAGTTTATTGTTATCAGGTTATTAGATGTTCTTTCGGTAAAGTCTGATGATGGAGGCTTGTGTTGCCTCCGAAACGTCGTGATTTGTTTTATTTTAGTTCTTCCTACGTGACTTTACCGAAATAACCAAAGAGTATGGATTCTTGCAGTCACGAAAGCTTTAAATAAAGATTATTAGATGTTATTTGGATGTTTGAGATGTTAATTACATGCCAATGGTTAATTCATATTAATTGTGGATTATTTAATAATTTGCCAATATGTCAGATACCCCCCCCCCCACCATATAGCCAGAAAGTTCACTCCACCATTGAGAGGTTTTAATATAATGCTGAAAGTCAACATATTTCCCTTTGACAATGCTTATTGCTCCATGCAATATTATTTTCACTCATCATATCGGTAGCTCTGAATTATGCTTCAGATGTATTGATACACGCACATGCATACCCAGCTCTGCCACTGACAGAATACAGTATATAAAACAAAACAGAATGATAAAAAAAATGTATTTAACGTAAGCAATGCTGATGACTGATGGACAATGGTAAAAAAGGCTGCCCAAAGGAGAAAACGTGATCAGTTTACGTGCAGGAGTGAGATGGATTGCCACATCACGTGACCATTAACGGATGGTGATGACGAAGACATTATTATTGATAGGAAACGGGAGGTGCAATTGTCTTAAGTTTATAAAATACTTCTTATTCTTCGTTTGCGTCGCTGATGTAGACGAAGAGCAACAACTTACAATGTCACATTCATCTGATCAAGCCAGATAACCGCGTCAGGAGCAGTGAAGTGTATCGCTGTAACACGAGGACTTTATTGAGGTCCTTGATGGTTTGCCAGCCATCGGAGCCCCCTTAGGGCTTCATAAAATACTGACCCCCCCCCCACCCCGATGAGGAGATCAAGTAAACTCTCTAAAGTCACGTAGAAGGGAAGTAATAAAATAATAAAAATAAGACATAATAAAATAATTCTCACGACGTTTCGGCCACAACGCAAGCAGCCGTCCTCAGGTGAAAACCAGGTCTGTCGGGGAGACATATATATAAGCTGGGTTGGGAGGGGGGGGAAAGGGCGCTTATGTTTTATTTTTATTATTTTATTACTTCCCTTCTACGTGACTTTACCGAAAGAACCAAGAAGATGAATCCCTGCAGTCACGAAAGCTTTAAATCGAAATTTAAACTCTCTAAATCAAGCAATACCTGTCTTGGTTAGGGGGTTTGAGAAGAGCAGTCTGAGCACCATGTTTTCTGAAGTCCTGAGGAGCACCACAATGTCAGCAGGTAACGTGTCCCTGTTCTTCTCAAGGAATCCTGAGGCATCGTACAGAACCTGTGGTAGAGACGAGCCAAAAGCTGAAAATGGTGGTACAATGCACTGACCATGGGTACAATGTGCTTGGTACAGTGTATTGTCCACATGCCATACAACTATTGTCATACTTTTCCTGCATAATGGTCGATTCCGAAGGTTAGGTCCATTCTTTTCGGCCTCCAAAAGTATTTTGACTTTACATTGTCCTCAAATTTTTCTGTAAGAAAGTGCAGTCATGCCATTCAAAATCAATGTCACAGAAACAAAATTACTCCTGTGCTTATTCACAGCATCGCTATTGTAACAAAAGCAATGACTTCAGTAATGTACTTGTCAATATTATGTGTTCCATTCAGCATTCAATATTTGATGCAAATACTGTAAAAAGTGGCCTTAGATTCCAAGCCCATCTTGAATAACATGCAGAATGTGTGAAACGAATGTCGTCTCAAGGTTAAAGTAATCAACTAACATTGGCTTTCAATATAAATATAAAGGCACTCTGTTGACAGACATATACAAACCCAAACCATCGAACATCTCAGCACTGTGTCACTGCCTTATTTAATCAGTGCATATATTCTGGTATGAGCCTTGCATAGTTTGTTTTCTTCTTCTTCATCATTTATATTTCAAATGAAACTTTGAATTTGACATTCAATATGAGTTACAGTAACTAATGAGCGTGATACACAGAGGGACTTACTGATGTTCCCTTCCTGGTAGGTCACAAACCGACTAATGATCAAAGTTGATCAATTTTGCGAGCCGACTCTGTACCGAAGAGTGTGGCACTCACCAACGAGCGTCTGGCCCGTGGCCTGGGGAAAGCGGCTCTCCTCATCCAGCAGGGACAACATCCCCACGGGCTTGGCCAGAAACATGTCGAGCAGAGGGCGGTTGTCCTCAAACTCCACCTGCTTTGCGTCCACCCCCTCACTTGCATATTCCTCCTGTCCGTTCGATATGGCAGATGGTGCTTTTCATTAAAAGCCTCTGTCAATGGACAACTTGAGAACGGGCCTTTACAAAATTGTTGAATTTCACCTATTCATTCAATCTCATTTGCATATGTATTAATATTTAATGTCAAGGCTATGGTGTGCTTTTAACGAGATGCAATGATGTGCCAGTCAGATTTAAATACCAATGACATTTAATGCACATTGATGTCTCTGGTTTAAATATCAGGCAAGAATCCAGAATCCCTTTGCAGGACATTGAAATCATTTCCACAGATATGTTGTAATATAAAATTATGGAAATTGCTTTTGTCTATCCTTCAGAAAAGAGCAGTCACAGCGAGCATGGGTGTGTATAAATGTACTGCACAATATTCCAGGACAATATTTTGATTAAACATCAGAGGCGGTGATGGAGGAGACAGCATGCTGATCTATGAACCCATTGACCTGAGTTTCATTCCGAGCCACAGCTTACATGAGTGCTGAGTGATATCTAAACCAACCATGGGAACCGCCTACAACAAAAAGCACCAACCAGGATGAAATATGATTAAGAAACCCCAATGAAATGGCATGGAGAGAGGCATTCATCAAAAAATGTATTGACAAAGGCCTGTACATTTTAAAAATTACATTTTATCTCAAGTGAAATTATATAATACCATTATACTGTAGAGACGTCATGCCACCCAATGCAACATGCCCACCATCCTAAAGGAATAGTGAACATTGAAAAAGTGTGAAATGATGAATGTATTAATTGAATGCTATTTATTTGTATAATGTAAAAAAATTCCTCTTCATAGTTGACAATGCTCTAGGCAGGTCTTAGGCAGAATAGGCCACGTTTAATTGCGCACACATTCTCTGCCATTGTGAAAATAAATGCACCTGCCGACCGCTGTTACAGTACCTGCTCCATGGCAAACACGTGCTGGTTGAAGTAGAACTGTATTTGCTCATTTGCAATGTTGATGCATAGCTGTTCAAACGAGTTCTTTTTAAAATTCTCAAACCCAAAGATGTCCAAGATGCCGATGCTCAGTTTACTGTTTTCACTGAAATGACATGGATGTGAAAAGCCACGTGGTTTAGTAATGCACGCCATTAGATATCTTTTAACCAAAAAATTTCATATACATTCACACGTTTCAAGGTGTGCCTGCATTTGATATTTGTTAGTATCTGTCAAACACAATATAGAAAAAGTGCACATTTGGAAGTGTAAAAACAGAAATATTGGGAACAATTTCAGTCAAAACACATTTGGCCTCACGTCATTATCCGCCAACTGTATCGATTTACGTGACAAAACGTGTCTATCAGCCGACACAGGGGACCACACTCTAATAAAATACTGCACTCCGGTCCAGCCAATATGAAAGCAATCGCAAAACCATTACACGTGTAATCACCGTGCAGGGGTGTGTGCCACAATTTCCCGGCGTGCCATTACTGTGTTTGGCGGCGAGAACACGGCACCTGGCGTCTTTGTCGGGCTGCAGGAGCGTGTTGATGCGGAGCACGATCCAGCTGAAAAGGCGTCCGTACAGCGCCTTGGCCATGGCATCTCGCACATCGCTCGCCTTCTCCACGGTGTTGGTGCGCATTATGGTCTCGCCGCGCGCCACCACGCAGCGCGAGACCAGCGCCTCTAGGAGCTCCTCGGCGCGGACCTTCAGCGGAGCGGCCGCTAGGCACACACGGACGCATGTGAAAATCGACTGGCAGACTCATGAGTGCCAAATGGAGTTATTGCTCGTGGAGTTATCACTCTGCAGCGGCTCTTGCAGGGGTGGTTGTAAAGTTGGCTGCTCAAAAAATTGGAGCCTCGTAAAACATGCCGACAGGCACGGGGCCTGCGTCGTGCTTCTCGATCAAACTACAGTTTTCATTTCGATTTAAAGCTTTCGTGACTGCAGGGATTCATCTTCTTGGTTCATTCGGTAAAGTCACGTGACTTTACTGAAAGAACCAAGAAGATACAGTTTTCATCTTTCTTGATTGGTAAACCCTCATGTGTATGAGTGCATTTAAACATAATTAAAGAGATGCAAAGACTTTATTGCATTATTTTATGACAGCTTTATGTCCACACTTGGTGGATGTTTTGTTTTATTTGGCTTTGTCTAAAACAACAAGTTTGGCTAATTAAGTCGATCCAACACATCTCGTCAAGTCAAATGGTTGTTCATAAATCTGTGGTGGCTCTCCCAGGGTGGCTGCTAAGTTGACTGGTGCGAAACTACAAGGCCTGTTGAATAATTTGGTCTTACAGACCATCTCATATTCAAGTGCCTCCCTGCTGAAATGAGAATTTGGCCAGTAATCATCTCCACAACATTGGTCGCGAAAGCCTACGTGTTAAACAGTAATCATCTCCGCTGGGAGCCCTGAGTTTGCGCAGAATATTTATCCTAAGTGGGTTGGTCATTGTATTTAAGATGACTACCATTCACGTTCCACAAGAGAACCCCAGTGAGATGATGATCTGTGTTGATGCCCGACTAGGATTTAAACTAGTGGCACAGTAAATACATCATGTTCAACTGAAATAAAGTGAGAAGCCATGATTCTATCTCACATTATTCAATGCATGTGTCATGAGTTTAAGAATCGATGCTAATCAATTCATAATTCCACCTTTGATCTGTAACAATATTGAGACTCACCGTTCTCCAGGGCTGCGGAGTTTGGGTCTATGTTGCTCTTGTCAGATTGATGGTCTGTAGATATGGACATGAACTCAATGTTCCCCACGTTGAGAATCCCAGCCAAAATATTGTAAACGCAGGAAACTTCCTGTTAGGTGTAGGGGAGAACAGCGCAGAATACCCACGTGAATGCTCTTAAGGACTCGAAACATACACGCAAGCATCATTGTCCCAAAATCACATGAATCAATAAAGTCTGCTTGAAGCAGCATTTTTAAATAGTGTGATATCTTGGCAATGCAATGGAGAAATGCTTTCCTGAAATGGAAATGAACAAATTATCATCGCCATGAAGGCCATGCTACAGAAACACACAAAAAAACTTAAGCGCATATGCACAGCCACACACACACATTAAACCCTTGGAACAGGCAGTGTAGACGCCTCTTATCCTGAGTGGCGTGATTATGTTTGGCACGAACAGCTTTAAGATGCTCAGCCCGACTCAACCCCGGCTCAGGGCTCGCACTAACCTCAGCTCTAGCGTTGACAAGTACATTCCAGGACAGCTGTTGATATGAAAAAAATATATCTTCACGTTCTGTTAACTGTACATTACATATATTAAAATAGTTTTACTGAAAATTAACCTCCGTCTTATAATTACGTGTACGTTTAATATCCATCATCAACACCGGCCATGATTTATCAATTGCTGGACGAAGGCTCAGCCATGTCACTGTCATCGCACAGTCTTGTCATGCACGATCCATCTACTGCAACTCCTGCATATGAACCGATTTCGACACTCCATCTTCACTGTGGTCGTCCTCTTTGCAGTGGCATTGTTTTTCCTCCATTGGCTGCCACTCCAGCATCACCCTCGACCATTGGCTCGTGAGGTATCCCGTGCAAGCTCACTTATTTGTCTCATCAGTCAATACGTCTCCAATTTACACAACGTGTGCTCCGACCCAGGTGTTCTGCTCTGTCTCACAGTGCCAATTCCAAACGCAGACCTCTCCACGCTTTTTAAACGAAATAAAACAAGGGTATATTAAGTGTACTATCTTGATTTGAAGCTTTTGTGACTGCAGGAATCCATACTCTTTGGTTCTTTCGGTAAAGTCTTCTTCTTCTTAATTGGTTCAGCAGTTCCACTGCTGGATTATTATTATTAATTGTTTTCCGCCTGAGGAAGACCGCTTGCTTTGCGATCGAAACGTCATGAAAATGTGTTTTGTTTTATTTCATTTTTCTACCTAAGTGTATGCGATTAGGAGTTGTTGTGCAAATTGTTACAGCTGCCCTGCATGTAAATGTAACATACTGCATCCGCTTTATAAAGATTAATTACTTGACGATGAAACCGACCTTACCTCTGTTGTGAAGCCAAGTATGTTGAAGCAGTGTTCAATGGCCTCGAACTGCTGCTGATGAAAGCCGGTGGAGAGGATTTCTTCCAAAGAGGGGCTGCTACTGCTCACGAGGTATCTGCCGTGCCAACGAGACACGACTCAGCGGGCTGCTTCCGCTCGCGAGCCACCGCCACACAAACCAAAGACGCTCGCTCCCAACACAGCTGCCGCAAAAAGTCTCGGAAAGATCTGTTGTCGCTTTGTGTTGGGTTTATCGACATTTTCTAACGACAATACGAGGACTACGCGGATTTGCAATTACGGGATTTTTTCAACATTTTCTCGTCATCGACAGCCACATACTGTGCAGCAATCAATACGTTCTAGATTTGAAGCTTTCGTGACTGCAAGGATTCATACTCTTAGGTTTTTTTGGTAAAGTCACGTAGGTAAAAAATTAATAATATTATTATTTATATTATTTATTATTATTTATTTTTTACCTACGTGACTTTACCGAAAAGCTTAAGAGTAATCAATATGTTATTGTTGTATTAAGGGGGCCGTCCATAAATGACGTCACGCGATTCTGGACGATTTTTGACCCCCCCCCCCCCTCGTCACGCGGCGTCACAAAAAGTCAGACCCCCCCCCCCCTCAAATATGACGTCACAAAGCTCTGCCCCCCCCCCCCCCCAAAATAAAACATTCTTCAAATCGCTTTAAACTATTGTCATTGTAGTGCGTATTTAATGTGCCGCTGCACTCTGATGTTGTAGGAGACAACATTTATAAAAAAAAGTCTATTTAATTAAGTAGAACGTGTTGTCTTTATTTATTTAAAGTTGCGCATTTTGATGTGAGGTCACATTTCTAAACCCCCCCCCCCCCTCGTCACACATCGTCACAAATGTCTGACCACCCCCCCCCCCCCCAGGTGCGTGACGTCATTTATGGACGGCCCCTAAAACCACGTTGCTGGATAGTGAAAGATCATGAACACTTGTGTAAATCATGTGTATGCATACTGCAGTTAACAATCGGACACACACAATGTGATAAAGTGTTAGTCATCAGAAGGAAACAAATCAGCACATTTCGTCAATCATCACATTGCAAAATAAAAGAACATGTTTTATAATTTCACTGATCTATTATGAAAAAACTTTAAAAATATATATTTCTAAAGAACATTGACATTACCAAGCATGCTCCGTAAGATGAAATATGCATAAACGTGTCAAATGCCGGATAATTCTAATACAAGGCTATTTCAATTCAAAAGGGGCTCAGTGGTAGAGCGAGCTGCTCACAATCCGCAGATTACGAGTTCAAATCCTGGTTGGAGATTGACTCAGCCCATCATCCCTCTGGGGGTCAATAACATTACTACTACTTTGTGGAGAGGTCAACAGCGGTTGCCCCTTGGATAACTTTGCCCCCACCATAGGAATATGGAATTTCCACCACTGCCTTAGGCCTTTAAACAGGAGATTAACATCGGCCCGATGCTTTTTGGAGCAGAAAATCACTTTCAATTGCTTCAAATCTCGAGTCGTTAGAAAAGCTGCTGGCTAGACCAGAGTGGCAGCAGCGCACGGAGCCAATTTAAATGTAACGAGCAATGGTGAGGCGTGCACGGGGTGATGATAAGTAGTACCGTGGGGCTTCGGTGGTGGAAAGACAGTACTGCTGGAGTTTGCCTTGCTGTGCAAGCCCGGCATACATGTAGTAGAAAATGTGAAAGTTTTTTTCAAACCTGAAAAAAATATTTTACAAACAAAAATCTACATTGAAAATGCATAACCAGTGGAACACAATACCACAATGTTTACACATATAAACACAAAAAACCACAAGTAACTCTTGCAGTCTGTCGGTGTTATAACGAACAAAAATCGGAGACATGTCCATAGTTTAAGTCAGTGGGCTTAGGCAGGACACGGTGCAAGAAGAGATTCTAGCTGATGATTGAGATTATGAAGGAAACATGTCCAAGAGGATGACCATTTCAGAGACGGGGGTAATGAAATCATCTCGCATGCAGGAGCAAGATGCATTGTGGCATTGCAAGACCGTGAATGATGGTGTTGTTATGGGGAAGCCTTCATCTATTAGTGGATAGACAATGGTTGATAATAACAAAGAAACATCAAAACTCATTTAGACAATGAAAACAGCCACGATAATGTCAATCACTGGGTCTCCAATAGGAAGTATGAGTAATAAGTTAGCATATTTGATCAAAGTATATTCCTACAAGTTGGTATTTTACGGTTTGATTCTGGATATGTAACCGTCTGAAATTGGACAGAATCCGTCACAATCCGTCACATTATTTTCCTATTAAATCAAATCACTGCATTCTCATTGCATATCATCATCCATGGTCAATCAACTGCTGGATGAAGGCCTCCCCATGCTGCCGCCATCCCTCACGGGCCAGCACTGTAAGCATCCATCTCTCACTCCGGCACACGCACTCTTCTTATCGCTCCATTTCTGCGATGCTCGTCCAATTGGACGTATTCACTCTTTTGGCTGCCATTCCGTCGCCACTCGTCCATCGACCATCGTCCCAATACGCGATGTGTCCTGTCAAAGCCCATTTACTTTAATGGCTGGTCAACCATAAGTATCTGATTTGTGTTTGTTCCCTGATCCATGCGTTCCTTCTATTTTCTCGCGGTGTAATCAACAGTATTTACACTAAGCCGTCAGTCAGTTGGGTCGTTTCATTTCGGGGTAGGCCTACTCAGCTAACAAACTCTTTTTCAATGGTGACATGACCAAAGTGGCATGCATGCAACATCGGAAAGCCAAAACATGTTGATTGAAAGCTCAGTGAATGGTGATGGTGGAACTGTAAGAATGCTCATGGCCGGTGCTCAGCGGTTAGACCCGATCGACTCACGGGGCTTGGTTGGTGACGCGGGACTTCTCCAGCAGGTACTCGAAGATCTGCGCGCCTGCCACCGTGCCGCTGTTCGTGAAGTGCATCTCCAGGTACTTGCCGAAGCGGCTCGAGTTGCCGTTGATGATGGTACACGCGTTCCCGAACGCCTCGACCAGCGGGTTCACCTGCAGAACCTTTTCCTGCAGTGCACGATCGCTGGCCTGCCGCATGCACGTTTGCGGGTTTCAAAGTGAGGGACAATGTTGTGAGAAGGCCCGTGATTTAACTTATGGGTATGCATTGCCAATGGCATGAGCACAGAGAAAATGCATCTTATTCTTTGGTTCTTTCGGTAAAGTCACGTATAAAGATAAAATAATAAATTAAATTAAATACTCGCATTTATTATTTTATCTTTATACGTGACTTTACCGAAAGAACCAAAGAATAATTCCTGCAGTCACGAAAGCTCCAAATTAAGTTTAAAATGCATCTTGCCTCCGTCATCAATATGTAGGAAAAGGTTGTTATGATAAAGGCAAAGTCGTGCAATTACTTATGCCACTGCAAGGGAAAGCCTCCACTACAGGGAGCTTTAGAGTGTATTTGGCCTACGTCTCGACTCTGGCCAGAGTGGAGACGTCGGCCACTGGGTGGACAAAGGTGGGGGCAATTCAAGGAGGTTACGTCTTGTTTCAACTGCCGTGCCGAGAGATCGAAACAAACCGGCGATCTCTGGACAACACACTGTGGCAGAAAAAATGGACGATGCTACATTTCTGTTAAAAGGCAGTGCCTAATGATTGCAGTGACGTGTTTTTTGTCACGTATTTATATACATTAAAACATTTATCGTGATCCTGTTATTTTGCTTCTACACTGCTCCCTGAATCTTCCACGGTCTCTGTTTTGAACTATCGTTTTCACACATTCTCTGGCCCATCTGTTCTTCTCTGTATCTTACTCCTGGTGGACCCTTCAAAAATAGATGATTTTCTTCAATGAGCACTCGCATAGTTGTAAAAGATATCCACAAATAAAATTACTTCACCAGGCAACCCTCAGAAATGTTACATAATAAATTAGGATACGGCTCCAGAAAAAAAAGGGTGAGGTTTTTCCTTAAGGCACAAAAATGTTTCACTCATCGTAACTATTACCATTTTGTCACCAAAGTGTAACCAGTTTAAATGTGACACTTCCTTCCAGTTTCCATTCATTGTAAATTGAATGCAGTGCAATAGCACTCAGTAAGCTTTTGTGAACATTTCAAAATCCTTAACAGATAACTTCCTTTCGCAGGGAGCATTAAACGAAGTAGCTATGGACCTACTCATACACTGTGGATTTCGATAGGTACAGTAATTTAATGCGTGTGCCTTATTCTTTTATTTCGATCAGCAGAAGCTGACAGATAATAAAGTAACAGGATGAATGATGCAGTGGTGCCGAGCGGTACCTTGCCAAGAACTGTCATCTGCTGCACAATGAGATGGGAGCTCTCAGTCTTCCCTGATCCGCTCTCTCCACTCACGATGATGCACTTCACACCACGATAGGAAAGAAATCAGAATCAAACATTGGTCCTCTAATTGCATTACTATCGTGTTTGCCTATACATTACCAAAAATACATTGCGAAAGGTATTTAGAAATATAACAACGTATGAATGAGAGCCCAATCGCTATAATTAATTTACATTGCAAAGTCTGGACTTTATTTTATCTTCCTTCAAACGGGGAGGATTAAATGCCTGTTACTAAACGTGGTTTAAAAAGCAGAGAGTGAAGATAAAATTGTCAGAGTTACAGACAACATCCCTTCACAAGGTTGTGATTCAAGACTTGTCACCTGAAATGAAAATTGATTTCCCCAACTTTACTAAATTTTTATGGGTATTAGCTTGCATGTTATATAACGTGCATTGCAATTGTAAGAGCAACAAGCATAATTAATGAACACGTATTGCTTGTGTATATTACGTGCAGAACAACATGATTATAACGTTACGTATCTAGACCCCGCTTCGCCTGATGATTCAGTAAATTTTCATATTTCATGGTCGCAAATCAGTGAAAGATATGTTTAACATCGTAGGTGAATGGAGCACTTCGAGTGGCTGCAAGGGCCATTTAAACCCATCGCAGTACTCAAAATGCACACAAATCGTAGGTGACGCACACATAATTCAATTAATTAATCGGAGAGCTTAAGAATTGATTGTAATAGATACATGAATGGATCTTTGCCACATACGTACAACACGGCACACCCATTTACCTGGTGGGCATTGTAGGTGACCATGGAGTGGTAAGCGTTGTCGGAGATGGCGAAGATGTGTGGTGGGTTCGCCGTGCGCTTCGCACCGCGGTACAGGACGGAGTGCTGCAGCGCAGGGACACGGACACCACAATTCAGGGCCGTGTGGGACCTTTCACTCAGCCACTCGCTCGACCGGGATACAGCCCTTTCGCGGACAATCTTCAGAGGTGCCTGATGGGCCATCCGTTCCATTGCTACTCTACGGGACGTCTGGCAAGAACATTGCCAAGCTGCAGCGTGTACACAATTCTCTGGCACGTGTCGTGACGCGTACTGCAAGATGTGACCATGATTGTCCAGTGCTCACCAAGCTGCATTTGCTTCCAGTTGCCGAACAAATACATTAAAAGGTCGCACTCATAGCACACAAAGTGCTTGCCGCAAATGAAATAAAACATAATAAAATGGTGAGAATTATATTATTTTATTATATTATATTATTTTATTATATTATTATATTTTTTATTATGTTTTATTTTTATTATTTTATTACTTACCTTCTACGTGACTTTACCGAAAGAACCAAGAAGATGAATCCCTGCAGTCACGAAAGCTTTAAATCGAAACTTGCTGAACTCGTCAAGGAATATAAACCATCACGAAAACGCCGGTCATCCTTACAGAGGCGTTTGGCTCGACATCGAACAAAGACGGTTACCGCATCGCGCGCTTTTAGATGTGCTTCTGCGACCTTCTGGATGCTCTTCCTTCTGATATTAGGAAGCTACTGGAACTATGCATTTTTAAATATAGATTGAAAACTCATTTATTTAGATCTTATTTTGGTATCTAGCTTGTTTTCCTTCCCCGCACCTCCAATTAGCACGGTTGGCTCCGTGTGGTGCGAAAAAAGTTCAACATCCTGTACATACATTGCTTCATGGCCGCAAGTAAAGTTAAAAGCAAATATCAATCCACCTTTGGCAAATCCTCTTACCTTTGGGGAGTAGATATCCAAGATCTGAAATGGATTGATGGCGATGAGAATGTCCCCCACGTAGGTGTAGATTTGCTGATCGGCATAGCGCTTCTGAAGTTGCTCTATAATTGTGGTCTGTAAGGAGCGAGAGGGAGATTTTTAAATATTGGGGTGACAAGCTCTGTTAAGTGAGGATACATTTAAGCTCACACGGTACAGGAGGGGTGTGGCCAGGATCAAACGTGCCTACATTTGCTCCCTGGTGGTGATGTTGATATACTGTGTCAGGAAGTCAGTTTAGTCTGAGTTGACCTATGGGTGGCCCATACTGGGCTCAGATATCCATTGGCCAGCATTATAATTTAATAAAAATTACCGCCAGTATTACGTCTGGTCAAGAACACATCTTTGGCTGCAGATAATGTAACTTAAGTGTGAAAACCACGGAACATTAAGGCTTTTATTTAGAAAAGTTACTTACTAGAATGAGTGTACAACTTATGAGACAGAAAAGCACTCGACAGCAACTACATGCTTTGTACAGATAGAACAGGTGGGGCCCTATCACTCAATACCTTTACACCATGGCTAATTCCACATCACTAGTTAATCCATCTTGTTTTACATTTCAATCATGAGGTTCCTGTAATAAGAGTCCTTATATGCAACGGCAGATGATACACAATTTAAACAGGTGGAAAAGCTCAGTGGTTATGCTAAAAAAAAACAAAGAAGGTCAGTAAATGTTTCAAGAGGTCAGAGAATTTGCTGAACAAATACATATAATGCCTCCTGCCAGAACCGGCCCTAGACCTTTGGGGGCCCTAAGCAAAATTTGGTTGGAGGCCCCTTTGATGTATGATTTCTTTCACCCACAAGCTAGCAGTGACTCTAGGGGGCCCTCTGCTGGCCACGGGGCCCTTTGCAATTGCAAGGGTCGCTTAGTGGCTGGGCCGGCTCTGCCTCCTGCATTCAGGGTTACTCTACAGATGTTTCACCGCAGTCAAGGCGCTGGCAGATGGCTTCTCGAGGACTGTCCATTGATTATGAACCTTTGTGGAGTATACTCCTCCCCCGCAAAGAGCATCTTCTGAGTGTTATTCCATTTTAAAAAATATGATTATTGATTTTCCCCTCGTAGTTTTTATTGATTTAAACATTCTTTATTTAAAGATAAGCAAAAAATTTAACCTTCATTTTAAAATCATATTTCTAAAGGATGTGCCACGAAAATGATACAACTTATATTAAATGCAGTCAATATGAACATCTTTCAATCTAGTGGTTATATAAAATGATATTAATGTTGAGAGCACAAGTGCAATCATGACACTTTGTTAGGTAATCCAATATAATGATGCATGGTATCAGACAAAATGCTTAATGATTATCTACAGATCAGATTTTCCGAACACTTGCCGATTTGCCTGCAAAGAAGTTTAACTGTGGCAATGCTTAAACAGAGCTGTATACTGTTGTGTTAGTGCTGGATTAAGCTAGTGCGGGGCCTGTAGCATATGTTATAAAGGGGCCTTAAATATAAAAAAATACGTAAATATTCAAACAACACATTTTTAACTTGCATAGTAAAGTAATTGTATTTTTTCATTTGCTTTCCAGCCAAATACGATAAATGGCTCACCTTAAACACCCAGTCGTTCATAAAAGTTGAAGGCAGTATAGTACTATAGTAATAGAGCAAGTACAGAATCACTGAACTGGAATCGATATCTTGAAAGCATTTAGCGTGGGGCCCTTGAAAGTGCGGGCCCCGTAGCATATGCTACTTTCGCTACGAGGATAATCCAGCACTGGTGCTAGTTATTTAATAGTTTATATTCAGGGGGTGAAACAGTGGCGTAGCGGTTCGTGCACAGCACTACAAACTCGGCGAATCGATTTTCATGCCAGGCCATGGCTATCATCAGTGCAGAGTGATATGTGAATTAATCCTGAGCCTTCCTCTTTACCACCAGTGTGGTGAAGTATTGTCAAAAAAATCCTCCATGATTGACACAGCAGGGGCAATCCTTCATCGCAATTTACTGTCACTTAGAAGTTGGATAATTTCTGCTCCACATTTGAACTACTTATTCACGGCTTATTGTTCAAGCAATGTGAGCTTGGCAAGTTTGTCTTATTTTCTTTTGAATCCTAGAGCTCTTTGTTAGATCCTCGATGAGACTAAGCATTCCGATCATCAATAGTAAGTGAACTCTCCCTCTCAGAAAGACAAGGTTGGCACTTTTCAAATGTATGGAGTTCTGCTCATCCCCGCTAAGCCCAACTATGTCCAAATTTACTTCTCTCAATTCTGTCTCCAATTCGATAAGATTTGATTCTTCAAGGAGAGTCCAGCAATGGTCAAAATGTAAAAAGCGTCTTCTTCATACCCAGTGCTTATTACCACCCCCTTACTCCTTCACCTTCTCTGCCAACGTCAAGTTTGGTGAAAGCACAGCTGAAGGTGACCGAGTACCTTGTGGTTCAGGCTGTACTATCATTTGTGAACAATATGTGACCGTACTTCAAGCGGTGATCAGTGTGCATATGTGAAGATGCCTCACCTGGCAAGAGGAACGCACCACTCACACACAGAGTAACCCCCTCCCCAAACCACTATCTCACATTAAATATCATTAAATACATTTACGTTATGCAGTTAGCCAGGCGCACAGATCACACAGCTATAATTGTGCCTGATGAGGCCATTTTTAGATATTGTGAGTCAGTCCGGAAAATACAAAAGTGTGTGTAAATTACAATTTTGATTCAAGTTAAAAGCGTCATCCCACTCAAAAAAGCATAGGGAGGTGCTTATCTCCATTGATGTTCCTGAGCCAGCGGTATGAATTCCACATTTCTGTGACAGGGACCAAACTCTGCTAAATATAACTATGTTACCTTCCCACAAAGAGGTATTTATGATATGGACCCCAGAGAGATGCTTGGTTGAGTCAACTATTGCTCAGTATTTTAATCTCACAACTTCCTAAATGTAATTTGAACCCTCAAACCGCAGCACCACTTGACTTCCAGATATGAGATATTACTATGAGGTATCCTGTCAGTTTAACACGTAGGCTGTCGCGACCAAGATCCATAATGTACGTGTTTTGGGTTAGATCGAGTAAATATGAATGTGTCGTTAAACCCGCCCACCACCCGACACAGCCTATTAGTCAGGTTTGTCACGTAAACAGAACATGCCAAGTCGTTACTCGTCCAGCACAACGGTGTGCTGGAGAGCAAATCCATATTGTATAGATAGCAATAGTAGTTATTGCTTGTTTGTTATATCATAGTATGTATAGTATATATCAGTAGTTTAACACGTAGGCTTGCGCGACCAATGTTACACTTTTTTACTGATTGGCCGTGTCGGGTGGTGGAGGGTTACGACACATTTATAAATAACGCGATCTAAACCCAAAAACGTTGATTATGTATATATCAGTAGTTGTATTAAAAGGGTCTACATTGATGCACGGGATAACAAAGATACAGCACTAAGCATCTTGCAAGCAAAAATGACGAATGAGCATGATGGAAAGGCAAGACAGATCGTCGGGGGGGGGGGGGGGTATGGACAGCTGGCTGAATGAATCGGAAAGGTGAACATCTGATACGGAGCACCGCGAGCGAGCGAGTGAGCAGCCGGGAACCTCGTCAAGAACGTCGAGCTTGACAAGGTCGTCCACAACGTTCAGCTCCGCTCGCAGACGCGACTTCATGTACTCCGTCTTCTTGGTGTGCAGCCGCTCATGCCTGCAACATTGCAGAAGCGTCAGCGATGGTGCTTGTATCAAGCATGGCAACACATTGTGTAAGCTAGGCTAGGCAAATTAATGACACGAATCTGGGAAATGTTCAAAGCTGATACATACTGCGAGCTTCATTGTGGGCTGCACCGCACTTGATTTTGCGTTTATGATTACGAAGGGCTATTTTGAACTATTTAGTGGAGTGGTGCCACAGTGGTAAGCGCACTATTCTATGGAGCCGGTGACCTAAGTTTGATTCCTGGCAGCGACTAAAATCATTGGTGAGTGATATTGGAGCCGTGTCCTGTGTGCCCCCTACCTCTTTACCAACCCACACTGACCAGTGTGGTGAAGTAGGGTCAAACAATCCCATGACCAATACGACGTAATGAGGCCATTATTCAACAGTAGATTCGGTGATAAAGAATCCATACATTTTCAAAGATTTTAAACCGTATAATCCATTACCTTCTTAAAAATCGCATCTTATACAAATGCACAGCGTACAGTGCCTTATTGCAATGTGTTTTACAGCAATTATAAAATTGTACATAACATCATAGGTAGATTCAGTTTATGTACCACAGAAATATGCAAAGTAATTTCCATTAAAGAGTAAACAAACATAAATAAAAGTCATATTCCATGCTGGTATAAACACAAGTCCTCCATACCTGAGAGAAAAATGTTTAATCTACATTAAATTAACCTAAAAATAGAGCTAATTTAACTGGCTTGCTTTCAGTGCTCATCTAATGCATAGACACTTTTACATTTGAATTCTGCTCAAGGCAGCATTAATACCAATTCAAAGGCAACGAGACTTATTCAATCACTACTGCTTCCCCTTCCTGCTGCGTTCAAGCAAGGGGGATCACTCCAGGTTGCTTGAGATGAAGCCAGAGCGTTCGTGACAGCACATTTCCTCACACCCACACATCACACAATGCTGCCGCCAAGGCCAAAGCCTTGCACTTTTTTAGAGCTTGAGCTTAATATTCGTGGAATTGTAAAAGACGTTCCTTTACAAAGCGGTGATCTTTTTCTACCCTCGCTTGATGTTCTCATCACAACTGAGGTTCTTTTTGCTCATCAAAAAAAAACACAGTGTACAATTTCAAACATTTTTACGAGCGACGTTTTTAAAACCGATTAATTAAGGTAAGCACCCCGTCATGCAACATATTCTTGGCGTGTTCCGCCAAGCACGTCTGCTTACCTCCCACCCTTCCTAAAGCAGTCAGTCTGCACACCGGCTAATGGCCAGACACACTGTCTGAGCTGATGGAAGTAGGACCCCATCAGGAACGCACAGCCTGAGCTGTCAGCAGAGCGTCTCGTTCTCCGGCTCACCCCTTCCCACTGCATCGTGCGGGCGTACACTCGAGCTCCAGGACTTACGGAGCACGGACTTAGCTCAGCTCATTTCTGCTTGCGCTAGAAGAGGCCCCCTGTTGTTTTGCTCAAGCTGCTTACTGGTAATCTTCACAATAAATCAATTATGACTGCAGAAAATGACTCGTGTGACCTGATATAAAACAAAGTATTTTCCCCCCATGTTAATGGTTTTAATGATGTTCAAATGCGACCGGCAATGATATTTCAAATATGTTCGAATTGAAATGGGACAGTCACCTCAAGTTCCATATTAAGAGAGGCAAGAATGAAGGATGTTAAAATGCGACCGCCAATGATATTATATTATATACTGAAAAGGTCAATATTTCAAATGTGCTCTTATCAATTATGACTGCAAGCTGTTCACACAAAGAATGCAAAGGGAATGTGTACATCATGAATGTTATAGGAAGGGTTTGGTTTGATGATGATCAATCATTTGTGGATCTTTAGAAGCTTCAGTGATCAAAGTAACCTCAGAAATTCTGGGTCATATTTCCATGAATGTATTTGGCTTGAGGGCAATAACAATTTAATAAAACACATAATTCAAATGTGCCATCTAATATCTGTTGTTGTTTATTCGTGGACTTATTTTACTTAAATATTAATGAGTGTTAGTATTAATATTTTCACACGTACGCTAACTTTTCTCCATCTTTAAAAATAAGGGGGCCGGGAATGTTCCCATACGAGATGTTTACAACAGTGGTTATATGTTCACAACGTTACCCAAAGTACCAACAATGGATGGCATAGACAACTGAAATGGTTCTTGCCCATGTACATGTATATGTGATAAAGTAAGGTATTTACAAATACGGGTTTATGCTAAAAAACTGTTAACATGACATACCCTATGGGAAGATTCTTTAACAAGTACCTCGAACATTATTTATCAAACCGTTTGGTAAAGTTGTACAATAGAGGAGATACGATGCACCAGTTCACCAATTAGTATTGATTCTTAAAGTCACGATACAAGCAACCAATATCCACGTATAAGAATCTATGTTTTTTAATTCGTAAATATTGTATGCACTTGGTTTCCATCACCCCGGCAGCCACAAGACGCATTACCATTTACCACCATGTAAAACAAATAATTTATTTAAACAACGATTCTGAACTTGCGAAAATTAATTGAATAGCTATGGAGTTGAATTCTTTAACCCCTTATGTACACAGGGCGCTCCAAACTGAGCGCCTTTTATTGAAAATCTGCGATGACAGGCAGAGCAGTGACCTGATCTTCTGGATGTTGCCCATTTGCAGGTGTAGATCAATGAGCTCCGTCAGCTGCTTCTGGAGTTCCTGCTCGCGGCCCTCCACCTGCTGGATGAACGGATCCTCCAGCAGCTGGGACACAGTGGCCCGGCGCTCAAAATCTTTCACCAGGCACCTGCACAACCACCGGTGTGTCAGTGCGGAATGCTGAGCAATGCGGAGAGCGCTCGCTTCCCCTATTAGGGGTTACTGCCGAAGTGAAACATTTGACATTCCTGCCAATTACATGGGGTAGAGGGATACAGAGTTTTATAGCAGAAGCATTGCGTGGAGAGGCATGTATGTAGGTCTAGAGCCCTTCAGGCTAATGCAGAGAGGACATCAAAGCACGGATTTATAGTGCACTTTAAAATGTAAGCATTGCAATTCTATAATTGCAAAAACATATCATGAAATCTCGCCAAGTGATGCGGTCACGTGTTGCTGGAGGGAAGTTCGATCAGCTCAGTTAATCAAAATGAATATCTTGCTTTTCCGCTGCTCCATAATTGCATACTGTGGCATGGAACAGTCTTTAAATTAATCTCAAAAGAGCTATTCATGCAGAGGCATGGATACTTGCAATGGATATCACTGACTTAAGATCAGGAGGAAAACATGGCTCAGGCTGTTGATGTCACTCACTATACCTTGCCTTTACATATTATTTCTGTCCATTACAATTTACTACCCATGGACACATTAACACAGCAGGCATGCAAGTCGCCTCGTAGGATAATGTAGCCCTGATCAAACGTTTGTCGTGGGCATCACTTACTGTGCTATAAATTCGTTGAACAGTGGAGGCCAGAGCTCTGGTTGCTTCAGTGTTGGAGGAGGATTTCTGCAAAAACACATGGCTCACGTCAATGTATGGAAGCATGCACTGCAGCAGCACACAAAGATCTTGAGCATTAGAACAGGTCAGCTGTGCAGATGCAACATGTAAATATGTCACATTCATGACCATAATATAACAAGCCTGGATGCAATGTTTCTGCCAAGCACGAATAATTATTCATTTGAGAAGACTGTCATGATGCAAAGGGCAGTGGACTCTGAAGGGTGGTGAAAGTGGGTGACAGGACTAACCCCGAAGCCACTTTGTTGTTCCTTTCGGAATGTCAGGCAAATGTTTCCCTCGGTTACTTTCCAGGATTCCTCATTTGCAGCCACCACGAAATAAATGCATTACGCATGTTTGGCCATACATAACTGCTGGCTTTGATACTGTCAAGTCCACGTTAACCAGCGCCCAGCCGGTACATGCCAGATGCACCTGCCTCTTTACTGACAGATCTACGTTAAAATTAAGCTATGGATGGGTGTTGTTGACACAAAAAAATTCGCTGAACTTCAGAATCTCCGTAAATGTTCACGCCGAGACTTGCGCCAGCAGGAATACAGCACCATCTTCCCTTGCCGGTCAAGCGCGGCGTCACACCGCACACCGAAGGGCCCAGCCGCTAATGCACGTGGTGCACAAACCCATCGATTTCCCATCCCTCGCCCTGCCACCTTTCCCAGTGCCGCTCACCGTGGGATCTTAAAGAGGGCGCGCATGGGATGCAGCTCATACAGCGGGGGGTCACCATCCCCCAGCTCGATGGCCGTGATGCCCATGGACCAGACGTCACAGCGCCTGTCGTACATGTAGTCCAACTGCTGCTCGCAGGCGATGACCTGCGCCCGGGAACAATAGATCAATCGGAACCGCCAGAGTGCACACGCTGCGGGTGCAACGCAAACAAAAGAGGGTGCTGTAATTGCGTGTGCTCTGTTTTGCTCGGCTCACTGAGCTGTGACCAGAATGATCTGACCAGAGGCGGCTTGACTGTGGTTATGTTTTGACGTGTGCTTGTCAAGGCAAGCCGATGTGCTTCAGAGTTCGCTGCGATGGAACACACCCTTGCACGTTTGAATGTGAAAATCGTTCTTTTACTTTTTTAAAAATAGAAAAATAGAAAAAACACACACGTGCCTCATACCTGTTACTTTATTCTAGATTGTTTGTATTGGTCGCTTTTTGACATATTCTTATACTGTATATACAACAAAATACAGTACTCTGACAACACTGGGAGAAAGCCTGTTTTGTGCTGCTAGTCTATTTATGTAAAGCACACGTATTACGTACTTCTTATTTACCTCGACGATAATGACTATGTAATCAAATAGCGAACAATGGTTAATGATGTTTGGTTATATCGTATTACATGTTAATCACAATTTGGCTCCAACAAAACCAAATATGGCAACACAAGACGTGGTTTTGCATTACCGCAAGCAGAAATACTCTGATGTATTTTTGGGTTGTACCGTATGTTCCTCGGCATGGTGTCAGAGTTTTCGCTTCATGTACCGGCAGCTTTTTCAGGTACTGAGATCTATAGAACGTAACCATGAAAACTCATGGAGTAGAAATAACCCCATCACAAGTTAACCAACCTCAGGTGCCATCCAGAACGGGGTGCCCACTGCTGTGTTTCTTTCCACTCGAGTTTTTGACACCTGGGCCGATACACCTGTAAACACAAATACAACATAATAATTCCCTACTTGGACTGGGGGAACAAGACACTGAGCCGTAGTGAGAACCTATTAAGGCCAGTCCAGTAATACCCCGATTTACATCTCCCCAATGTTTAAGTCGTTTCGCAAATACGTCCGTCACTTTATTAACACCACGACTTGATTTGCGTCACCTCGTCCTGCACTTACGTCGCTGACAGCATCATCCATCCTTTCTCGTATCCGTCGCCTCCGCCTTCGCCTCCACCTACCCGATATTCGTCGTCGCACCTTTCAGGAACGTATCCCCGACATAAACCGGGGAATTACTGTACTGTAGAATATTTTGGTGAAACTACAGAAATGTCACGCCAGTAGCTCGTGAGATACCAAAGTCGACAAGTCTGATGCCCCCATCCGTCGTGAGCAGAATGTTGTTTCCTTTGATGTCTCGGTGGATGATATTGTGGCTGTGGAGGTGATTTAATCCCTGAATGGACACAGAAGATATGTACATTGTCAATAAAGGTGCCATGTTATTGAAATTACAATGCACGTTGTAATACTTGCAATACATATGATATTTAACTGCCTTAGAAACATTTAATTGAATAATCACTCTGTGCTGTTGTGCCAAATATGTTCACGAAAAGATGCACACACCTAGACACTGACAATACGCTTCATTTCCATTAACTTTTGACAAATCAGCTCTAAAAATAACTCCTGACAGATTTTCCCAATGAAGCATGACAAGATTTTAGCTTAACAAACGTATCTTAATAAAACCGGACATCTAGACATTACAACAGGAACCCCATACACGAGAAGCCATGGCTTTTGGCTACACCGCGAGATGCAGCCACACTGCGACATGGATGCACCCTGGCAGAGCCCGGTTAGAATGAGAGACCTCGGCTCCGTGCCCCTGCCCTGATGAGCCCTTACCAGCAGGGCCCCGCGGAGGATGTAAGCGATGAGCATGACGTCCATGCGCTCTCCGCGCTTCAGCTGGCCCTTCACCAGGTCCGTCACCGAGCCTCCGTTGCACAGCTTGAGGCAGCACAACACAAGCAGCAGACGTGGCAGCACTCACACCCCTGGCAAACAGTTGCGCCGCCGCCACATCAGGCCGCAGAAGAGGAGAGTTCCTCTTGTCCGCGACCCTATTACCTACGACGACTATGATCCCTGGCAGCTGAAGGGCTGCGGAAACTTCAATTATCCGCGGCCATTTTTTTCCCCATTATCCTCCATTATCCATGGGGGGTGGGGGGGTTCCCGTGGAAAAGTGGCGCAAATTTTACTGTAATTGGGCGAAGCAAATTCGATCGTACAGTTGAACAATTGCAGGCACAGGGATCAATCTGGATTTGCAATCACTGTAGCATGGGTCAACTTTGTTATAATTTACCATCGAATGTGTGAACGAGTGAGCAATTTGTGTGTGCTTACTCACCGGTGTTTTTCTGGCAGCTACATATAGTCATAATAATTATACAAAAAAATAACACTGTAACAGTAATTTATAGCCCTTGTCAATCCACTGCAGGACAAAAGCCTCCACCACACTCTGTTGGTCATAGTTGTTGCTCAATCGTGAGGTTGAAGGGGGGATGGCTTGGATTGGTCCTGTTTAGATTTCATTTTCCAGTGATTGATAACCATGGCTGGGAATAAAACTTCGGATGAAGAGGTCATAGCCCAGTCCGCTAACCACTGTTCCACCACTCTATCCAAATATGTGTTTACCCAGTAAAGCCTCACAAGACTTTTTTTCCTGAGTGTTCTCAACTGAAATGTTTGGCCAATTTGAATAACGAGTGTTTGTCTTGTGAGAGTAAAACACCAGAGATCCAGGTGACATCCACACATACAATGGGACAAAGACACAACAAATAGAATCAAGCACCCATTGTTTACTGTCATCTTATGGTCACCTTGCAGCCCATGCCTGCAATAACAGATTTTCTCTGGCAGAATTCTCCCATCTTAAGATTGACGAGGCTCAAGATAACCTCTGAGATCTTTAGGCACATTTATGGTGATTTTACAAAAGGCAATACTATTAATGGATATCTAATACTATAGTTGCTCTCGTATGTTGCAGATTGTGAAAATACGCATCATGTTTATCATTAACACTGACTTATAACAGAACGAATATATAATAGACACACATTTTGCCAATGGACCTTTAAATCAGATCAGAAATAATCTTGTGGTCCAACATAATAATAATCATCATCATCATGCAGTCTGTGCCCAAGGATGATGACCTCTCTTGCATCTGGAGTCGGTAATCCTTCGGCATCATATACGGTTGTTACAAGGCCGTAGCCATGGAGTCAACATTGGGGGAGGGGGACCAAATCTTCCAGGGGGTCTGGAGGTCCCACCCCAGAAAAATAAATCCAAATTTGAAAACGAATTTCATGCCATTTCATGCCTAAATTTTTTTAAAAATTCACTAACATATAGGATGGACGTTTTATTTATTTTTTACAATAATGTCTAATAGTGTATTGTATTACATTGCTCTGTTTTTTTATTTTTTACCTTTTCTTGTTTCATTGTATGTAATGGCGGAGATTAGGGATTAATAAAGTACAACCATAACCACAATCATATAAACAGAAATCTATTTTAAAGAATTATATTGGGGGGGACATTTTGAGCCTATTTGAATATTGGGGGGGATGTGTCCCCCCTCAATATATATTATGATTACGGCCTTGGGTTGTTATATTTGGTTCCTGTGAGTTTGCTTGTGACTCGCAAGACCAGAGTTTGAACGACACACCCTTCCACAGAGATCGCATGCAGAGTGGGCTGAGGACAACTCCAAAAATATTGTTGTTTTGAAACAAATATGGGCAGCTAAATGTGTGACCAATGTACTGTATAATACATATCAACTATACTAGTCACTAAGCCACCCTCCGGTTAGATATGCTTGCACTCAGAACAATAGTTTCAAGTTCATTTTTGTTCTGGCCAGGTGAGAGACCAGGATCGTCTTAATTGCAAGAGTTACCTTGTTTACCAAACTAACGAAAACAAAACAAATCATATACAGCAATACAGAAAAGCAATCAGACCAAACACAAACCACCGTACCACATGACGAATTGAATATATTACAAATATAAATCAGCGTTGATGAGAGTGATGTGCTGGGTCCATTTGTTGGGAGTGGGCCTTACGGTTACCTCAAGGACGATCCACAGCTGGTCGCCATTGACGCCGTCCTTCTGGTAGTACATGCCAAAGAATCTGACGATGTTGGGGTGCTCCGGCAGGGAGGTGAGGATACTGTACTCAGCCTCGATCTCCTCGTCAATATCCTGCTGATGGACATTGTGTGAGCAAAGACAGAGGGCTGGTGCATGCCCTCGGAACTTATCAATTGGTACCCAGACAAGCCGCGCATTTCTGAGTAGTATGGTTGGCTTCGTATGGTGTATAGGAAGTTCAACATACGTACATACAGCACAAATCGAAAAAAAATGTCATTCTTCAATGTAGTTACAAAATGTCTCTGCTTGCTAAAACCCTAATGTTGATGAGCCCAACATATTTCTGCAATGCATTTATACAAATATTTATCATCATCCATCATCCAAACTGACGTTATAATCAATGCATGGTACAAATATTATTAACAATTATCAGTCATGTTCTATCCACTGCTGCTGGATGAATGCGTTACTATGTTCCATCCCATCCTCTATACTCCCAGTCTCTACTGTCCCTCTCTGTGGCTCCCTCACCCTGCGCCCATTCTCGCTTTCGTTAATTTACCCTTCTTGATCCTCTTCACTGAAACCAACTCCCACTGCACATACAACAATCACCCTCACTATAACCTGCGTCCGTTCCTCCCTGCTACGACTTCTCCTTCTCCCTGTTCCCCAGCTTGGACCAGGCCTCACGCTACACCTCCTTAACCACCCCCACCTGTCCTCCTGACTTCACAACTACACTTTTAATAATCCAAATCTTTATTTTAACCACCATCATCATCTAATATACAATTTGATAATTGTTGTAAAGTGCGTTGGAATATGGCACTATATAAATATGTATAAGATAAGATAATTTCGTGTAGTTCATTAACATTGATTGATATGACTAGACCATTGGTGAATATGAAATAGTATTACCTACATCATTTTGTTTAACCTTTATATACAAACATGGGTAAGTATATCGCAGTGTCAGTGAATGTCTTGGGTGAGCGCGTATCTCCTATCCTGACCCCTCTTTTGCTTTGGATATTGTTACTTAATCTCAAATTAGCTCTTCATAATTGGCTCATATAGTTTCAACATATTTTATTAAGGCCTCTCACTAATTGGGAAAGCTTAAAAGTCATTGTCATTTTCCACTGCACAAAATGCCCTTTGATAGTCTACAAAAGGCATAATGGATATTTCAGATTAATTTTTCTTTTCTAGAATCTGATGGATAGTATGGACCTATGTTAAAATAATCGTGCCCATTATTTACCCAGGAAATCCTTCAATATGAACTCCTTTACGTAGTTTGAAAGCTATGAAAAATGAAAATACATTGGTATATGTAGATGATGTTATTATAAATCATATTTCATCATTAAATCATATTTCATCATTAATTTATAATATATTATAAGGTGAAACATCTAGATTATTTTCAGGTATGTATATACAATATATATGAAATGACTCACCTAATTCTAACAATCTTTATTGACTTAATTTTTTATTTAAAAGCATGAACGCTTTATCATTCCCTTAGAGTAATAGGGGTTTTCCCCTTTTTTCTGGCAACAAAACTGAAACCTTTTTACAAGGAATCATGTGTGCATTAACTTCGACACTTGTGGTTAAAATGCAATAAAAAAAAAACACACTGACAACATATGTATTGTCCCTGAAACTGATTGGTCCACACCAGAGGCGGCTTTCTTTTGAGCCTCGTCTCAATTGGTGCTAGACCAGAGGACGCCAAAAGGCATACGGCTCAAAGACAATTCACTATCAAAGTAATGAGGGCTCGGGGTGAGCATCTACATCATTAGACCTCCTTTGCCAGTACCAAAATATAATAATAGGATTTTCCCCCTTTTTTTCTGGCAACAAAACTTAAACATTTTACAAGGAATCATGTGTTTGGCAGCTATTATTTATTTATTTATCTGCAATAGGTTACTTCCCCGAGCTGCTCAGCCACTCAAAATACTACAGCCAAGTCGTGACATGTACAACGAGTTTTACAAACACCACCCCTGCAAGCACCACAGCTGGGTAAATAGTGTGAAATAACTAATGGGACAGATCAGGTAACGTGAGGCTGACCAACACCCAACATTTAGCCCATGTGCTCCAGCAGATGATTCATCGATCCATTATTATATTCAAATGTTAAGCAATATGCTATCCTTAGTAATCTTGCCTTCATAATCCATCTCAAAATCCCAACATACTTAAGAGAAAATGTTTGTCTGGATATATGTTTAGGGCATTTATGTCCAAGCTAGTATGACCTATCCTCTAAAAAAGTCAGTGCTCTCTAATAACCTCAAACACATTACAAAATCTGACCTGACACATCCTTACGCGTTCAACCTAAGATCCACACAGCCCTGATTGAATGCAAATGAGTGACTTCTCCTGCCAAGAACCCACGTTCACGGGGTCCAGGGTCTTGACAGCAGCCTTGCTACCATCCTTCCGGCTTGTCGCCTTGTACACCTTTCCGTAGGTGCCCTTTCCGATCGTCTCCACCAACTCCCAAGTGTCCGAGGGGTCCTTCAGCTGATCAAACTTGATCAGCTTCGTCGACATCTTTCTGAGGTTTAGCAACAATATACGCTGTCGGGAACAAGAACACGACGTGCGATTACTCGAAGAAGGCGTACACACCTGTTGAACTTGACGAATGAGAAGGCACGTTTAAGAGCGAGACATCAGTCTGGCTCATGTTATTGTCATTGATGTCGTCTGCGAAAAGTACACGTTTCAAACTCAAAATACTTTGGGAAAAGTTCAATGTTCACGACGTTTTACGAGACGTATTTCATTTTGCACATACTTTGAGATCATTACTTCGGTAGTATAACCATGTAACAGTGTACGTTATAATCGCGAAACTGTACGATAATCTGATTACGCGAACGCGACAATCCGTGTGCCTTCAGGGGATCCGTCTGCATCTCGCAAAACTCGGCCACAAGGTGCACGCAAAGTCTCCCGTCGCCAAACAACCCCGACTCAACAAAATCAACCACACATGCTTTGTGTGTTGCCGTACAGATCCTAACTAGACAGCCGCACACACACACACACGCACGAACCGCACAAACAGGCACGGGACAGCAGATGTGTGACCTATATGCCAGTCAGCTTCAGCCACGCGAAAAGGGGACAAGTGAATGAATATCCCGCTAATCCTATTCATTCTCGGCCCACTGAAGAGAGATAGCTGCGACCGAGTTTGCAGAGGGGGCTGTAAGTTTCGAGCTCGCAGGATGCTTTTTCAGTGTTGCAGCAGTGCGGCTCAGCGATGCAGCCCATATCCCCCGAGTGACTTGTCACAAATTATACGAAGCACGCCTTCCCATCACAGCTGTTGTCAGTGACCGCAGCAGCCTCTCTCCTCCCTGGGTCAGCTCACGGAGACTTCCCTGTCACAAGCTGCTATTTACTGTCGGAGAACATTACCCGGGCAAGCTTGTGGACGCACACCAGCTTTGCTCCGCAATCCTTCACCAAGAGGCCATTAGTAACAACCGCACTAAAATCATCTTGTCAATGGTTAAACCGTCAAAAGAGTTCAAACAAAACATAAGCGCGTGCGTAACGTGCTGCGTCCACAATTCGCTCCCGGCAAGTGAGACGACTGTAGCATGGTCTCTTGAGTTCTCACCTGATGTAACAAATACACTTGACATTACAATTGTCATGCACTGCACCAGCATCTATATTGCTGAAGCTAATTGATCAGATCTTTGCCCAACCACATGCCCTATGCTCTACTGAAATTGCCCGAGGCACCCAATCGGACAGAGGCTTATTTTTTTACACTCACAGAAACAATTAACGTAGAGTGTTCCACTCTGCATTAAGAATTTCTTCCAGTGCACACTTACCGAACCCTCTGCGCATTCAAGCCGTTCACCAACACTACAGAATCACCGAGAGCATGGCGTGATGTAACCCACTCATCACAGAGCGGTCTCATATCATCATTACATCGATGCCACCAGCGCGCTTCCAATCTGCGCATCCTAGATGCGTGCCCACTTAACACAACATCGTGTTCCATCTGCCAAACCCGGCACAATTCATTAGGCTAGAACTGCGTCCAGCTCGCCAACAACAGAGATTAATGAGGGCTCTTCGTACAATTTGTCTTTGTGCTCTAGTTATGGCATTCTTTGTGCTCATTAAGAGCGCAGCTCAGCAAGTGAAATATGTGGCCATTATAGTGAAGATTATTGTTTTTTGTGGCCGTGTTTTGTCCATTACGAATTCCATTGAAATGCAGAAGAATACAATTACAGTATTTCATTAAAGAAAATACTGATTTCTGTATATATACAAAGTGCTATAATGTATAAGAAATACACACATATGCATATTCAGTAGGTAGATGCAGTGCAAAGGACACAATATAGTTGAATGTGCTGCCCTTGTGCGCGGGTGTGATACAGCGCTTTGGAGGCAAAGGTTGGTGGACCGTGCAGTGAAGGTCCCAAACCTGCTAGGTAGAAGGTGGTTGGGAGGTGGCAGCACAGAGGGTGGACATGTGAACCCACTAGTGTGGACCTTTGAGTGTTATCTCCCCAAACATCTCTGTTTCCTCCCACACATAACACAAGCTCTGTTCTTTTAATGTGTAAGTCACACTCTTGAATGAAAATGTTTCAACGAGGTGGGGTTTTTTCGTGCCAGTGACTATGCGGAAACCATCAACTTGAGACACTTGAGCACCTGGCTTATTCAACTGTTATCCACTTAATTTCTCTGGCCTCTCAATTCGTGTGCTATTAAGAAGGGCCATTGCCCAACATGGCATCGAATATATATGTATTACCTTTTATGCCAGTGTTATTGATGAATGTGTTCAGTGTTTTGGCTTATTGATGGGTGTCGAGATCTGAACACAGGATCTCAGCAGTACCAACTCAGTGCTCTGACCGCCAACCCACCTGGCCACCTTGATGTACTCTTTAACAACAACAAAATGAACAACGAATGCATGACCCCCCTCCCCCATCCCTGATAAAAAAAACAGGATAAGGATTCACATTTCTAGTTCCATAAATAACATTACGTTTACTATGTGACGCATCCGAAAGGCAAAATACAGTATTATATAACATTATACAATACATATCTAAAGCATTCATTAATTTAATCTGCTTTGAAATGGACATAAATACATGGTACACACCTGCAGAACATTCGCCAATCTTGGCGGCTGACCTGTCGCAGTGACCAGTCTCGCTCTTCTTTTGACAGTTGATCCACGTCCTGTACCAACGTTATAGTCAGATGATGAGGTTGGCAAATGTACTTCTTCGCATGATACTAGGCTATTAGCAGATGGAATTGAGCACGCCAGACACCATTGAAGCATGCAACACAAACACACACATTAGGCGCGGTATTCTATATCATACACCAATATACTATACCGGACACAGAACCCACTTAAAGAGGTGTAATGTTCCTGCTGGGTACCCTCAGCTCCAGCAGCAGAATCCAAAGTTCTCGGCTGGCGACCTTCAGCACATTGTGGTGGCAGGAGGCGTTCCTGCCTTCGTTTGCCTTCAGGATGTGTGAACGTGTAAATGAATATCTTTCCTGTTGTTCAAGCGCTCGCCACCAAATGTCTTTTCATGGCGCCGAGGGAGGAACGGAATGCTTCACGTAACTGCTATAGAATTGCTTTGTCGCTTACTAATTTCAACACAAGAGCCTACAGTGATGCTTTGTTTTGTTTTAAATGACGAACAAAGTTATCTCCAGAGGGAGGAAAACAAAACGCAGTTACCGTGACAATGTGTGATACTGCGATGCTGTTTGTGTACCTGGCCTGTGGTGATATTCAGTGTTAGCCCTTTAGCTGTAAGCTGATCTATGCAAACAGGCATCAATAAATGAGCGTTTCACTGATCCCTCACGTGGGAAACTCAAACCGGGGGCAGCGTTTAAAAATGTAAAACCACAAAGAGCCCCAACGAGGGCTTGATAAGCGCAGACGCAATTATGAGCAGCACATACCCTGACACCGAGTTCACGGCCTGATCTATGAAGGCACGAGCTTATGTTACTTGATATTATTTTACATTTGACAATAAATATACCCTGCAGTAACACGTATATTCATTTAAGTGCCCTTACGAAAAGATATCTCTGAAATGTGCATTCAAATCATGCTGGGTAATAAAGGCTGTAAGATCGAATTGTGTTAATCAAGAGGCAATATTTGAGTGGTTGGAGATTCCATGTCACCACCGAGCGCCACTGTGACGACATGATGTCAAGTTGCATGAATATCAGGATCATTAAAGACAACAGCTCTCCAATTTAAAATAAGACACATCTGTCATTTCCATACTCGTTCCACAATCCTGTAATCGGAGCACTAAATCTGCCCTTTAATGTAACACATTGCCAAGGCACAATAACACATTGCCAAGGCAACGTATTATTGTGAGATGTGTCTATAGGCTCGAGGATAGAAATAATATTCTGGCGAAAGAATACCATTTATCGGAGCAGAAATTGAAGGGATAGAGGAAATTTAAACTATCCGTGTCAGTCTTATGAATGTATTACCACCTATTCGGTATTGCTACCTTTCAAGTGTCTTTCGAACGTCGTCTGTCATTGCAATTCAATGTTTATTTGTTACACGGAAAATCCCATTTACACAGTTACTCAGCAAGCTTCGGTGGCAATGGAGAGGTACCCAGCCAGCAGCCAGCCAGGAAACTCGAGGCAAAAATGATGTTTAATAGTATATTAATTTCCAAACTTATCATAAACTAGGAGTATAAATTAACAGCACTACGAGTGACCGAAGATTAGTTGCATGGCTTCTCGCCGTAAACAATACCACATCACCCCAAGATTCCCATCGCTCTGGTGATCCCCAGTCAAATCTCTCGCCATCTTCAAGATAATTCGTGGACTTGGCACAGCTTACCTGCCCTCTCATTTCACTCGACTACCCTCCCTATGCGCACACACACACACACTCCGCTCCACACACATACACTCCGCTCCACACACACACTCGGCTCCCAGAACCCAGGTTTGTTTTAATCGAAGTTCCTTGTCAATATTCATTCCCTTTGAGGTTGCTCATTCTCCCGTGTTGCCCGCCTTTTCTGAAATTCCCTTACCCCTGCCATCCGTGCTGTCGACTCCCTGCTCGTGTTCAATGCTCGACTCAAGACCTTGCCCTGTTTCCTCTGCCTATGACTGACTGCCTATTCATATAAAACACATATGCCCACTTTTTCGATGCATCAGCTTGAGATGCGGTCACATTTAAATGCGACATAATCCACAATGCATTCGGCGTTTGCCAAGTGTTACTCATCCACCAGGAGCATTCTCTCACTCTCTTACCTCACAGCAGGAAAGGAAGTAGAACACCCGTGTGGTTTTTCCAGCAAATCTCAAAATTGAGCGTTTCCCTGTTAGCACCTCGACCACATGTGTGTTGGCGCGATGGTGCCAGGTGGGCTATGGGACGCGACCCTGCCCCACCGCGCGTATTATTGTGTCACACAAAACCCGAGGTGGAGTCTTTTGTTTCGCCGTCCGCGGAGTGAAACCGATTCAGTGGCTGTCTTCAGGCACTTGAACAATAGAGGGACACGCATACTTTTTTTTTCCATTGTACACCCTCCACCCAAGCCAAGCACTGTGACCACTTGTGTGAGTGAGTGGTTGGTGGGTTGGGGGGGGGCTATAACTGAATCATCCAACCCGATCAGCTTATGCAGAGTTTGGATAGAGAGAAAAATCGAAAGCCACAAGAATCAATAACACTGCATTATAATTAAAATAGACCCCCGCTGTTATGATGAAGCGGTGGTGGTGGTTGTTTAGCGATATCTTTGGTCGTACAGTATGGTGAAAAGAAGGCCTCAAGTTTTTCATGATTCTTATGCAGCAGCCCAGCATATGAAAGAGTGTTAAATACTCATTGTGTTGGTGGTGTAAACCACAGCATAATTCAGTGTATTTACTTGCAAGGCTAATGTTCCCATCTCCTTATATTACCGGTTTTTCTCGTGATGCTCGGTGTAAACTATTGTGTTACTGTTCGTGAGGTCAGCCAGCTAAACATTACTGACTTCAGGCAGATCAGGAGCTGTGAAGGTTAATCACTTAATTGTCTTGGGTACAACGCAGTAATGTTTAAGTGTATGCATCCTAAGTTTAAGTTGAATGATAGAACAACGACAAAAACAAGTTTGAACTTACAATGTCATGTGTAAGTCGAACCACTCACATGTAAGCTCAAAGTGCAGTACTGTTACAGTATAAGGGCAAACAAGTTGTTGCTAATTTTAATAATGATCTACAGCCCTGTCAATCCACTGATGGATTAAGGCCTTTCTAAGCCGAGTCAGTCATGGGGGTTGTTTGATCACACTTCACAAAAATTATTTACCTAATTTTTAGAGTAAGTTGCTTTGCCATGTTCTGACTATGTTGAAGTGCAACGTGCATTTCACACGTCTGTGATCACCTCCTGTGTTGATGACAAAATAAAGAACACATGCTTCTCATGTCTCTCCACAAAAAGACGTGATTGTTTTTTTACACAACCCGTCAATTTCAACATTTCGTGCTTGAACCAAAACGGAACTGCTCCATGTTTATAGGCAAGGACCCTTTCATTGAGAAATGCGTTCTAGTTTGCAACAAAATTCCATACTGAAATACATAAAATTTCCTGTATTGAAAATGCTAAGGACAGAGATGTATTTATATTTCATGCACGTACATCCCTCTACATCTCGGTGTATGTGCGTCACTAGATTATATCCATCATTTACATTCCTTTTTGACAAAGGTGATCATTATCTGTATATGTCCCTGCTGGCAAATCTAACATACCTTAAAATCTCTCTGATTCATAATTCTAATAACAAACTTACTCTGCACTTTGAACATACTTTTGTATTCCATTCACAAATGACGATGTTGTAATTCATTTTACCCTCAATTGGACTTCGCTTCGGAATTTCATTTATTTGATTTACTTTCATTTTTATGGCTTGTATTTGAGCATATATTTGAATAATCTTCAATTTGCCATGGTTTATATGAAAGTTAATGTTTTCTGAACAATACAAACGTATGTGCCTTTTAAACCTAAAACTCTATATTTGATTCCTGGAGAGACTGAGAATCCTGTCAATTCTCCCTCTGATAGAAAAGGATGCCATTTGTCAAAAGTATAAAGTTCTGCCAATGGTTTGGCTGTGTCCAAATGTATTTATCTCGATTCTGTCTTCCGTTTGACAAAGTTTGCCTCTTTATATAGAGTCCACGTGTTATATGTTAGCCATGGTCAAACAACGTAGGCATCCTGTTCTTTCCTCGTGATTCTTAATGATTAACATTTCCTCATACATCATGGGACCTCCTTTGCCAGTACCAAAATATGAGATTAGGGTTTCCCCTTTTTTTTGGCAGCAAAACAGGTGTTGAGATGTTAAAACACCAAACTGAAACCTTTCACAAGGAATCATGTCTACATTAACCACAATGCTTGTGGTCAGAATGCAAACAAAAAACATACTCTGATAATATATGCTTTGTCTTTGAAACTGATTGGTCCACACCAGAGACAGCTTTCTTTGGAGCCTCGTCTCAAAACGGTGTTAGACCAGAGGACGCCAAAAAGCGTGCAGCACAAAGACAATGCACTATCAGAGTAATGAGAGCTCGGGCTGAACAGCTACATCTGGGGTGTAGTGGTACCTGATTACCTGTATTTACTCATCAAGAGCTCGCCGGACAATGTTATCTAGCATTATTTGTTTATGCAAGCAAACTCTAGACTGGTTTTGACCTTCTGAGTCTTATCAGCAGTCAAGCTTGTTACATACATGCTACTTGATTACCAGATGTTATTGCCAAGAGGAGTCATATAAACTGTGCTACCGCACATTCTTTGTTCTTTCGGTAAAGTCACGTAGAAGGGAAATAATAAAATAAAAAATATATAAACAATAAAAATGTTCACGACGTTTCGACCGCAACACAAGCAATCATCATCAGGTGTGAAATCCACAGCAAGAAATTTTGAAAAAAAGTGGCGGTTTTTCCTAACGTCAGCACCACGAACAGCGATTTAGCAGTTGGTCAGATGGACGAGTCCATCTATGTTCGGAAAAGAGGAGGGGGGAGCAGAAAATGGAATGCGGTCTGAAAGTCACCGTAAACGTGAACACAATCAATTAAGACCCGAAATGGTTTATCAAATCCTTTCAATGATTGCTAAGCCAGAATCTATCTTCTCGGTTGAAATTGTCTCTGTGTTTGTATATGTGGATAGCCTCATGAACGAATCTCTCATGGTAGCCAAGATGGCTTGCAGAGAACCTCTGTCTTCACAAACTCGTGTATTTTCGTGGGGCATTATGGGTAATATCACTTTAAACAAAGCTCTGTTCCGTATATAAAATATAAATAAACTTGTTTTGGTTCATTGGCTTTCCAGACCAATACCAACGAGCTGCATTTGCTTCAACGAGCCAACACTGGACTGGTTTTGACCTTCAAGGTGTTATCACAAGCCGAGAGGCTCCAGCAATTGAGGACGTCTATACCGGAATTGCGGCCGTTAAATCTGCTTGTGTTCAGGAGCCAGATAAATTGTTGCATTGTGAAAGCCTGAGAAATGGCAAAAGCTTGGAGAGGCCTTCATCCATCAGTAGGTAGATCGTGGCTAATGATAATTCACTGTTGGCCAGTTGGTGAAGGGAGGA